GGTTCAACAATCTGATTAAAACACAGATCCTATTTCGTTTCGTTTTTTATAGTTCAAAATTTCGTTTTTACTTGTCTTTACTACACTTGGATCTGGAAGATTTGTTATTTAACTCGTGTTCTGCTTGAAATGAGGGGTCAGCCAATCAAATGGTCTGTCGAATCGAGTGTTTGACCTTTTTTGCGCGGAACTGTGGGTAGACATTACCAGCGATAGAAATCAAAAGAAAGGAAAAGTAGATTTAAAACAGCATGGCGGTCGCTAATTGGTTAATCGAATGACTGACGTTATCGGGTGAAATGTCACTTGCTTGGTACCTGACGGCATAGAACGTGAACTCCCACTATAACTTGTTAGATCTACATTTAGTGTAGGCCATCGAACGGGAATTTAGTGCACTGAGTTCAATATCAAAACCTTGTGTCCTTTTATAGATTATGGGGTTTAATGTTCACTCGACACAAAATACCTCATTTTGGGACTAACGTATGATTTCAATAATTTTTCAGTAATTCGCTTGCGCGTATGGGGTCTTTAGTAGTGTGTGTGGGGGGGGGGGGTAGCCCCGGACCTGGAAAAACCAACGAATAGGCGACCCTACTCCTTGTCATCACGCCACTTGACTCAATGCCCCACCATATGATCTAACGCGCATGCGGCGCTTCCACTCGCGTTTTCGACGCTTCCACTCATTTTTTCGACGGCAAAAGTCCGTCTAGAGCAAATTTAATTGAGCCGTTTCCTTGTAATCATCTAAAACGCCTCGAAAACGCGCACATGGAAAACGGGTTTTAAATCATTCGACCACCCTAGCGCCATTTTAATCCAATTGTCTTATTACAGCACACACTTCATCGGGGGGGGGGGGGGGGCTATCTTTAATGATCAACAAGTTAAACTTGTTTACTTGTTGTTCGTTGTTCGTAGGGTTTAACGTCAGTAGGCTTTCATTCAGCGCAAGCGCATGGATCTTTCGCGAGTACCCGGAGTAAACCTACGAAGTTGAGAAAGCTTCATTATCCAGTCAACAAACTTAAAGATACATTATGGGAGATTTTATAGAGAGTTGGCCATTCTTGCTATAACAGTTCAAAAGTAGATGATGAAAGAAGAATATATTGAAAAATTCAGTCAAATTACTTTATTCTGAACATAGTTATCATCGTTGTAATATTTGCCTAGAAATGGTAGAGAATTGTGTCTTCACCTTCGCTGATCGTTTGATTGACAGGCGTTAACTCCACCTACATATCTCGATTATCAAGTAAAGTTTTCAATGGCATACAGAAACGCTTTACAGCGGCCTCGCTAAGTACAGTCTATCATTTAGCCTCGATCTAACAGACGTACTTTCATCAGGTTACCCCTTATCTGATTTAATCAATTAGTGAAATCCTATTTAAATCCGAGCTGTAGCCGAGCCATCCGTGGGTCTACAGAGTTGATTTTGTTCTTGTTGTTTAAATAAAGATCTAATTTATAATTTCTATAACATCTGAAGCCTAAATTAAGACTTGCAATAATCAGATTTAGCTCTTGCATAATGCATGTTTAACCCGGAAAATCAATATTGTTAAAATTAACTGAACGGAACATATTCTCATAAACCATAAGGATAAAATGTTAATATATGTTTATTATCTGTTTATTCAATGGAGTGTCCCCAGGCAAAGCGCCATATTACAATACAATATAAATAAAGTGTCAGTGGATATATTACAATATATTCTGATAACAAAAAAGATAACAGGGTCTGAGGCGCTCTTGGTTCAATTTAGAACCCACCAGTTACCTGACCCTTTTTTAACCTCAAATCGCCGACCCTAATATTTGAACCAAGAATTGGTCGCTAACCGCTACTCATCTTATTGGGGTGACGCTCTTCCAAAAAAACTAAGGCTCCACCATTTCCGTCAATTCAAGTCCGATCGACATGAAAATTAGCATGCTTCTTCTTTGAACAAGTCTACCTCGATTATGTGAATTACATTTTTGAATTTCATCCAACAACATGGTCAGTTCATGGTCAATAGTCCGATCGTATTTGTTTTTCTCACTCACCGGGTCGTATAATTCGATCTTGGTGCGGTTTTCTGAATACATACGGGGGTCACGGTGGCTAAGTGGGTGAGACGCTGGCTCGCTAGCCTGGAGATTGGGTGTTCGATCCCTGCATTGGCCGAGAAAGTTCATCCAGATTTTCCGGCGTGGTTCCCTCTTGTCAGTGATGCAGGACGGAGGGTCTGATAAGGACAGCTGCCTAGTCGTTCGGATGGGACGAAAAACCGAGGTCCCGTGTTCACACTGGCGTGCACGTAAAAGCTCCCTTGACAGTTGGAATTCGATATAAGAGTAGGCCGTAGTGCGGCTGTCCGGGCACAATTTCCCTCATAGCACACTGTAGGACGTTAAACCCCATTTCATTTCATGTCGGAATACATACAGAAATTTTGTTATTTTGCAACAGTCCGAATCGGCATTATGTTCAGGTTATTACTCAATAATTAAAGCGAGAATTTCAAATTTTCTAAGAAAGTCAAAACGAAATTATTTCTATGTCTTTTGCTCAATAGGTTGTCAACTCACAATTATACGATCATAGGTGTCATTCTCACACTTAAAACTCATTTACACAGGAAATAATAACACAATTACCTCCCAATTACCTCCCTTGTTTTCTATTCTCCACCATGGAGTAGCTTTTTTAAACGTTTGAAAATGAAGAGGAAAATGACATTTTGGATACCATCTATATCAGGCTTTATTTTAATAAATTTTAAAAATATAACTTAAAAATTTGAAATTTCCGCTTTAAGCTACAGCATGCTAGGAAATAAATAATAAATACTTTACGCTATTTAAAATGACATCACAAAAACATTAGAATGCCAGTCAGTTTCTATTTAGGTTATTAAAAGTATAGTGTTCGGTCCGAGTATTCGAGTATTTTATCGCAGAACTCCAGTATTACGATAGTCTGATATTCCAATATTCGGCAAATTTGATGTATTTCAGCCAGTTTTTTTTATAGACGTAATCATTTTAGTAGCGGCTCGTGATTAGGGATATACAACTAAGATAAAAATCAAAATTTTAGTAATTTGATTGGATAATATTAGAGGGATTTTAGCGTTAAGCCAATCAAAATTGAAGTATCTACTAAAATTTGGATTTTATCTTTAGTTAAGATTTCGAGAAACAGGGCCCAGAAATCGCATTATAGCCAGATATAATATGGCTTCAATAGTTGGTTCATAGATCCGTGCAAATTTCCGCACATGTTGATCCAGACTAGAACCTGTCAGCAAACCATTAGAACTTGCATAGGCGTATTGGGAAATTTTTGACGGGGGGGGGGGGGGGGGCGGTGGTGGTTGGTGCCCAAAAAATGTAGTTAGGTTCTTAGTATGTTACATAATAGTAATAAATTCGCTGTTAAATTGGACACATTCAAGAACACAATATATTTTTTTATACAAATTTTACAAAGTACAATTGTGTGCCCAAATTTACCCAGCATTTGGTGCCCAATCTAAACCCACAAAAGACCCCGACCCCCGCCACTGCCCCTGCAAAACAAAACAATAAAAAAACAAAACAAATCTGACCGCCGACCCTAATGTCTGTAGCCAAGTAACCGTAAACGCAGATATTTTTTGTGTCTATCCAATAAATGAAATGAAATGGGGTTTAAAGTCCTACCTATCCAATAACAACATTTTCATTCTAGTATACAAATTGTGAAAAAATATCACGAATAAAGTTGTAAAAAATACTTATGCATAAAACGTAACTGACCAACCTGTTTTTGAGTTGTTCTAAGGTTCATTTGGCGCATACGCAGTAATCCGTACTGAGAACCGTTCTCAGACCGGATAGCGTTTACACTACGAAAATTTAACCGTGCCGTGCCTGGCAACGTGCCGAGACCACCTCACTTCAGTGGGCCAAATTGGCACGGTACCAGGCACGTTTTTTTGGGGTTTTTTTTTTTTCGGGGGGGGGGGGGGGTTGTAGTGTAAACGGGTCAAACATAAGTGTGCCGTACTGGCACGCTTAAAATTTGTAATGTAAACGGGGTTATATGCCGTCGATCAGATATTCCACAAATCCACAGCCCAGTATTACTCGGCGGCACTGGGAGCCCCCTCCCCTCCTTCCTCGCATACACATATAAATATTGTTTTTTTATGGGGGGGGGGGGGCGGACGGGATCCTGTTCCCCATGCAAATTCCTTGGTCACCACGCCCCTGGGCTTCCCATAGATCGTATGTAGCCTAGTACAGTTCTATGAGTTACCGAAGTGATACACAATGGTCACTGATGGAACGAATGTTATGGACTGTGACATATTTTAATTATGATATTATTTGCGTATTATCTATATATAAAATAATTCTACAGTTAATGACGTGAATGATGACAAAATCATTTAGGCGTACATAAACACATTGCCGTTTTAAATTCGCCATTTTCAAAACTTGTATTCCATATTGTTATACAAGATTGTTACTGTATTCCTATTAGTCACTGACAAGAGTCGACGGGGGCGTTTTCTTTTTGTTGATATCACCCGAAGTATTACAAAAAGTGGTCGACAAGGAGAAATATGGTACAGATATGCATAATACACAACATATCCAAAATTTCAATGATTTTAATTATCCGTAATTCTTTCAATTGTTTATAAAATCATTTAGATATATGCATATGCGTGTCTTCATTAGCTCCGTCGATGCAGAAAGTTAAGACGCTCAACCCAAATTTCAAGTCATTTCTCCATATCTATATTTGTCCTTGTCCGTCACTTTTTGCAATACTTTGGACGCTACTGACATAAAAAATAAAGCAAAACCGTTTTGTCAAAATTCCAATTATCAATATTTTATGAAATCATTTAGATTTTGATATAATTTGTGGAATGTTATGCATGTAATGTAACTTTCTAACCTATACAGTAAATCGGCTGTAAAAATATATAGTAATTTGTACAACTTACTTGAATTCGTATCTTGTTCTATTTCCAGTCTTACTTTTTAATTTATTGTTAAATTACCGCAGGTTGGAGCCAGTTAAGTTTCGTAAACCTTTTGTCATTATGTTAAATGACAAAAGCGGCAGAATTCTAACGCCCATTATGGTAACAGGTGGCGCACTAGTGCCAGGGCCGTATTTAGCGGGGGTGCAGGGGGTACATTGCACCCCCCAGAAAAATAAGGCGCCCCGAGAAATTGCGCCCCCCCCCCCCCCCGCCCCATCAAAAAAAAAAAAAAATTATTTGACAATCTTTCAATTATAAAATAATACACATGATCACACAGTGATGTTCTTAAGGCACTGATCAGTCGATCGTTTTTAAGGGCGCCCACACGCCAATGGGTTCGTTTGCCCTGATCGAAACTTTCTTATATCACATACGTGGAGGCTGCACGCCCACTTTTAAAATCCTACATACGGTCCTGATTAGTGCCGCTGGCTGGGCAAACTTTCCCTTATATAGCATACTGTATAACGTATGCCCGTCTTCATTAGCCTAGTCGGTGCAGAAAAATAGGACGTTAATCACCATTCCATTTCATTTCATCCAAAATCGCGCCTATTTCATAACCCGACATTATGAAATAAATATAAATAATGATGTCACTGAAGAGGTCTAAAACCAGTATTAATTGATTTAAATTAAAGTAATCTTGATATTATTCAAGAAATACAACTCTAGAAGAAAGGTTAAGGTTACTGGACTATTTTAATTCCTTGAATGAGATGTGATATCAGGTGTTCTATAAAGCGTAAGCATGCTTTGCCTCGTGTACGACTCTTGTCGCGTACTCTATAGCTAACGAGAGTGATAGTGCCGTAAAACATGAATCATTCATAAGACTATTGAGACCCATTCAGTTAACCCGCTTGATCTAATCTACCGTCTCGGTGCGACGGGCTCTCTAACGGATTGCGAACCTTAACCATCTATGAAGTCATAAAATATACACAACAATAAGGGAGATTATGTTTGCCTCACTGTGGGTGACAACATCTACTTTCCCGGTCAATCTAATAGCCATACGTGAATAATAACTAAGATCTGAACCAAAATAATACCTGTAAAGTAAGACCTGTAACCTAGATAACACCTGTAGAATAAGGCCGGTATCCCGGTAACACCCGTAGAATAAGACCGGTACACAAAAGCAAACACCTGTAGAATATGACCGGTACACAAAAACTAACACCTGTAGAATATGACCTGTACCCCAAAAGCACCTGTAGATTAGGACCTGTGCCCAAATTACATCTGTAGAATAAGAGAGCGGGAAGAAAGAGGTTTAACGTCCACTAGACACAAACTAGGTGATTCCGGGACCAACATATGGTTCAATTTTATTTCAATAATTCGCATGCGTATATACCGTATGATAAAACACCCCCACCGCGCCACACTGTAGAATAAGACGTAACCCAGATAACACCCGTAGTATAAGACCGGTACCCAGATAACACCTGTAGTATAAGACCGGTACCCAGATAACACCCGCAGAGTAAGATATGTACCCAGATACATCCGTAGAATAAGACCTGTACCCAGATAGCACCTGTAGAGTAAGACCGCACATGAATGTATTTTTGCTCTACTACCCTTATTTTGGATAATAGGCTATCACCGCCCGTGGGGGGAAACACTAATTCTAGCAACATTGTAGCTAAAATGTTAATTTTACTGTTGTTTTTTTTTTTGTTGTTTTTTTTTTTGTAAACAATATTTTATTTCAAATTTATACTGCAATTTTTAAAGGTGGTATACAATTATTCTCTAGACATTTATTCGCATGACAAGCCTATAATCAGCTCTGGTAGCCATCGATCACGTGGTCGAGATTTAATTGGATTTGAACACCCGTGATATTTCAAACTTTAACGATAAAATGGATGATCGAGAATTAGTCTTGGTTGTCAAGTACCGTTGCTCCGATTATAAACGACCTACGCTACATCTTCAAACAGTCATAATAACTTCGTCCAGAATAAAGTTATTTTTCATTATCTAGTTTTGAACTATTATAGCAAGAACGGTCAGTTCTTTTATCTAACGCGCATGCGAATTATTGAAATAAAATTGAATCATATGTTAGTCTCGAAATGACCTAGTTTGGGTCGAGTGGATGTTAAACCCTAATTCTCTCTCTATCTCTTTTGTATCTAAATCTTACAGATAATGCATCTTTAAGCAATGGGTCTTGTTGAATCGATTTTTTTATATTTATTCAAGACAAGATAAAACGTTTACATAACTGTAACCTTGGATTTAAATCTCTTTGAGAATTCAGACATGTCACATGTCATTTGTTTGTTTTTGATTAAATATAAAGTACATGTACTCGACATATATTATTTATTGTACCCAACAGCTTCTCTCACACATAATACAAATATTGTTCTTGGCTCATCTGATATGAAACAAAGTGTTGCTAGGCAACGAATAATCACCATCAGCAACAGTTTCAAGTTTTCTGATCCAAAGGCAAAAATTACACATGGAATTAGAGTTTCAATATGTGCCAAATCTTATTTAAAGTGATGTGACTCAGCATATTTATTGATATTTTATATCTTTAGAGTGATTGATAAACACCTCAATGTAGAACAATATGTACAGGTCATGTTAAAGGGACAATAACACTCTTGCTGGCTTGACATCTCCAGAAAATAAAAAATAGCCTTATTCTAAGTACTAGATGTGTTAGTGTCTTACCTGTTGTGTAAATTATCTATTAAATCCTATTTTACTTGTCCAGAGGGTTCAAAAATATTTTTAAATCCAAGTCACATTTGAAAAGCTTTACGTCAGGCTTTTCAAATCATTTAGTTGAATTTTTCTAATTTTTTAAATTAGGTGGGTTAAGATCAAATTTGTATCATCAATTAATTGGAATATTGTAAAATTGTACAATTTGTTGACCAGAATAAAGATTGGGACATGTTATTCAGTTACAACAAGAGTGGTATTGAGCCTTTAAGTGATAATCGGCTATGTGTGTGAAATGGCTTTATTGAGGTGATACCGCCACACCGAGGTCTGTATTTAATGTCCGTTTCCACCAAGATGATATCGCCACACCAATGTGATGTCTACGGCCACACCACGTTGAAAACACCAGTTTTCGTCCGATAATTGGCTAATCCAGTGGTTCTCAACCTTTGATTTTGCTAACGGCACACCCTGGAACACATGACAAAATAGTGGCACACCTGACTAAATATATATGAAAAATATTTGAATTTTGCAAAATAAAAACATGTTAAGTCAGACGGAATACAACCGTAGACAGAGACTAGTCAAAGACACATAGAATGACTCAAACTAAATAAAGAAATACATAGCTATGAACTTATCAGATATAGAATATAGAATCACTTGGCTAATCCTATATTGTCGGATAAATCGCCCCAAGAAGAAGACAATTTGGTTGGGGTTGATTAACGATCAACTGGACAATCAGTTAGATTTTCATCTACCCCCTCCCTAAACAAACCAAAAATAAATCCGTGATAATTTATTTTTTGACCCAAACTTTATATTCAATTATAAACAAAACGTAATATTAGCTGGGTTGGTGCACACATGGCTTGGTGTGCACGTCCATTTCTTCCTGAGATTAGTTTACAGATATAAATCAACATGGGCAACTACAGTTATTTACTATGTAATTCCAGGAAGATTGCTAGACCGAGTAATGTGGATGTCGTTGAATGTACTGTTTAAACTGCATTCAGTAACTGAACACATTGAAATGAACGCAACAGTTCTAAAGAAAAGCCATTAATGTATTTTTAATGAGAGATACGTTTTTACAACAAGAGAATCGTTGTACAAACAGCTCGGATTTAATAACAGTAATAGCTTTTCAGAAAGAGAGAGAGAGAGAGAGAGAGAGAAAGAGAGAGAGAGAGAGATTCTGTGGAATCTTAAAATAGAGCAAATATTAATTTCATACTAGCGTATATGTTCGGTGAAATACATGAACAGTCCAAACTGAAAGGCAGTGGTTTGTGCTTGCTTAGACCACGATTTTTTTATTTTTATTATTTCATTTCCAATTACTTTCTAATCATCTTGTGGGGTATCATTTTCTTTATTCATTACAAATGGCGCTCGAACCATCGAGTACATGGTGTACTGATTTTAAAATGTTCCCTGTTTGGTAAGATAACAACATCAATATTGATTATAATGGGCCAATATTAAATACTAATTGGTGTTTTTAATTTCCAATATCATGGATAATATTGAGTCATTTTGGTAAAACAGTCATTAGGGTATCCTTAAATATATAAATAAGCAAATGGAGCCAAGTCAGGATTGATAACAAGTAAGTTGTAATTCAACTTTTCATTCTTTATTTGTTTCTATTTACAGATTTTTCATAGAATTCTTTTTTCATAAAGGACACACTTTGCCTCTTGAGTTTTATTATAATTCATCCTTTCATTCTTTCTTTCTTCCTATTAATGTTTCTTTCAGGAGTAAATTCCTTATGCTAGATTTCCACTATCCTGATTCGATTCACGCTACAATTAAAATCATGGTTTTAATCCTGGTGATCCGATCAGGTCGTATCATAAATTGAGGTCAGTCATAGCAATCCTGTTGATCATATCGAAACGCACCTGCACCTACCAGATCGTGGACTCAGTAGAGGACAATCCTACCGTAAACGCATCACACGACAATGGGAATCTAGCATTACCAAATATAAGTTCAGATCTAACCACTATGTCCTGTAAAACAAGTCTATACTCTGGTCTGACACAACTACCAAATGTAAGTTCAGATGTAACCATTATGTCCTGTAAAACAAGTCTTGACTCTTGATGACAGAGACTAGAGTTTAAAATATATTTTCATCTTCATATGATACAATGCTTCTTTTATCCTTGTAACCAGAACCTTTCTGTGATTTACTAGCAGCTAGAAAAAAACAAACAAATTATTAGGGTATATATATGTCACATCTTTAACATTTAATGGGTGAGAGTAGGGGGTAGGGGGGAACAGCTGAACATTTACTGGGTAGGAGTAGGGGGCAGGAGAAGCAGTTGCACATTTAGTGGGTAGGGTATACACACACAACGTTTCAAGGAGATTTCACTGGTCGTTATCAAGCATACAAAATAACAAATGAGAAAATAATGTGAAACCCTTTTAGAGAGTATACTCCTCGCAGTGTTTCGTTTGATTAGACCTTATCCCACTTAACATTGCTGTAAAGGAAGCAAATTTCTGTTCCAAATTATGACTGGTCAATAGTCTGATTAACAACCAATACCTAACTGCATAACAATATCATTATGCTTTAAACATAGCTCCAAATTGGACCAAATATGTTTAGATAACGCTAGTCATGACTCACGATTTTATTTTGGCTAAATAACCAGTGAATAGCAGAATATTGCAGAAAAACTAACTGCGTGACAAACGAGGCTATCAAAACGGTTACAATGTAAACAATACTGTTTAGAGACGAACAATACTTTCACCGATTTTCATACCTTAAATCACTGTCCAAAGTTTTAGGGAAGACCCTCAGATTAAACGAAGGGCTGTCATGTTGCTGTACTTGCATAGATTTGATTGGACGGGAAGAATAGACACACTCCCTCAAAAGCTCAAGTATCATAAGCCAATCCAGCAATGGCCAGAGAGGTATATAGTAGTACATTTAACAATAAAAGAAACCATAAATTGACAATTTTGTGGAAAAATTGTGTGTATATAATATAATGACAGTTATCTATATAATGATTGTTATCTATATCTACATTGTGTGTATATAATATAATGACTGTGATCTATATAATGATTGTTATCTATATCTACATTGTGTGTATATAATATAATGACTGTGATCTATAGAACTGTGTTGTGTTAAGTCCCGCCCACACCGCCACGACTTGTCCAGACTCTACCCAACGCAACGTCTTATCTCAGATAAGGCTGACCTTAAAAATATCTTTGTTTCACCAAACCCGACCCACAATCGAGGAGAAGGGTCGGTAGGTCGGTTTTTTTTTTCAGATTTTTTTTTTAAAGTTAGAGAAATCAATACAGAAAACTTATTAGCTGTATACTACAGATTCATTAATTTTGTTTAATGAATTTGGGGTCTGACGTAAAAAGTAACGAACTGAAAGTCTTTTTATTAAACTTAAGAGCTAATTTGACAGCTTAATAATTTTCCGGGTGGAAACATTCGTCTTCTTTATTCAATTGGCAAAAAAATCAATGACATCGGGAATTTTTCGTGATGCCCGACTCGCACACGATTTGCCACGAACTTGAAGTGTGAAACTCCTTCAACACGTTTTTAACGATAGTGCGGGTTGTGCCTTCATTTTTCTCGAAAACGGATATTGAAAATATCGTCGTTATGTTTAAAACTACGCACCACAGACATAGAAGCAGAATCATTTCGTGGGAATGGACGTGTATTCGTCTGCAAACATTTTGTTGAGAAGCGACACCTATGACGCTTTCGTCTTGATCAACCAGTTTCAATAATGAATCAAACCATAGCCATAGTAAAGGGAAATAACTCTCGTGATATATTTCAGGTTGACACACAAAATAAAATAAAAAGATCGTGGAAAAGTGCAATAAAATAATTTAAGTCGGGGGTGGTTTTAGTTAGTCGGTCGCGTTAGGCGAAACAAAGATATTTTTAAGGTCAGCCTAATCAGTGCAGTGTGGACAGTCCCACGACCACGATTCAATCGATTTCCGTCGCGTCGTGGCCCGTCAGCCTGACTGAGCATGTTCAGTCATAGTCGGATGCAGTTGGATGCAGTCGTAACCCATCGTGTTTGTGTGGACTCTCACACGACACGATCAATTGTCTTACTGTTGTTTAGCCAATCAGAGAGTAGCATTTAGTCATGTGACTGTGCAGGTCATGTGCTCCTTGTTTTCCCGGGAATCACTCGCTAGAGGGAAGTGGCGTAACTCACGACGCATAATCTGTGAGAGTCGGGCCTGTGTGGACTGGTGCCATCGTAGGCAAGTAAAGACGCGATCCGATTTTTTTAAAAACTACCCAAGACGCTGAGTCCTGTCGGGTTGTGTGTAGTCGTAGCGGTATGGGCCGGGCTTTATAAATCTGTCTACTGCAGCCACTTAGGGAATTCTCATGTCTGACCACTTAACGGGAGTGACCACTTAATAAAATCTATGTGTTTGTTATTTGCATCAGGGACAAGCATCTATATTCACATCAGTAAATTTGGACATCGCTGAAAATTCTTTGACTTTGTTATATAAAATCTATGTACATGTAGTTTACTAACCTATTGATGTCCAACTATTAGCTGATAGATCTTGAATACTTTCAAAAGCTGGTTGTCTTCTGGCCATTGATACATGAAGTGTGACATTTTCAATCATAGCTCCATTCATCTATAAATATAACAGCAGAGTATGTTTCAAAATGGAGAGCCGCTTGACTTTGTGATTATAGCACTAGTTCTCTAGCCAGACCCCGGGTTCCATCCTAATGTTGGCCAAGAAAGTTCCTAAAGATTCTCCCTGCATTATTCTGGCAAGAGGTTCAGAAAAACAAGGTGCCATGTAGACTAATGACAGCACCATAGAGAGAGAGAGAGAGAGAGAGAGAGAGTGAGAGTTAGACTAAAAGCTAAAAGTCAAAAATAGATTTTAAAACCATACACAATCAAAAGTGTCATTACTAAAAAGAAATTGATCCAAGCAATCTGATTGTTATGGCTATTTCACCTTATCTGGGGTCAAGAGAAAGAGAGAGAGAAATGGGGTTTAACTTCACTCGACACAAACTAGGTCATTTCGGGACTAACATATGGTTTAATTTTATTTACATAATTCGCTTGCGCCTAGGGGTCTTTAGCAGTGGGAGGAAACCAGAGGACCCGGAGAAAACCCACGAGGTTGGACAGGCGACCCTACTCCTTGTCACGTACTACCGGGGATTCGAAACCACGCCAGTTGACTCAATGACAGACTTTATGATACAGCGCGCGCCTGCTAACCATTCAGCCATCCAACCCCCATATCTGGGGTCAAAATTTATCTCATGTCATATGCAGAATGGTAGGACTGGAGGTCAAACCCAAATTTCTTTCCATCCCACATGGCGATCTTATTGTGTCTGTAATGGTTTGAAATACATGTACTATTGATCGATATCCTCAAAGTATTATCTAACCTAACATTTTTCTGTCGCCACATTTTTCATAAAATAATGCAATTTTTATTGGCCTTTTATTAAGTTGCCTCTTAATACTTACAGATTACCAGTATGACATACTACCCACCTCTGCAATAGCTTGATCGGCTGACTCCATTTTATCAAATGTTACAAAGCCACAACTACAAAAATATATTAATGGTTACTGAGAATTTATAGGCAATCAATTTAGATATAAACATACAGTTACACACATGTAATATAGGCAACACTGGAATCTTATGAGACTACATTATACTAAAATTACATTAACATGTTGTTTAATATGTAGGGGGGTTGGATGGCTGAATGGTAGGGTGGCCCATGCACTCTACAGAAATACAGTCCACCGCTGATAGTTCGAGACTACCACTGAAGCGTGCACATTCGTCGTGCCGAGACCAACTTTCTGACAGTATGATACTATAAATAGCCATGGCACTTGCTATTCTCTACAAATCTATCAACTATTACAGCCGTAAAAAATTATTGTTGACGATTTTGAATAGCAGTAAAATTAAGCTTCTTGGTTATTGCAGCAGATTTAGAAATTACGTTCGTTTCATTTTTTTAAATCGCTTTATCATTAACTGTACCGTTAAGAGCGGCATCTTTTGGTTTAGTACAAATAATATCTCTGAAACACTCGGTTTAGACAGGAACATGATACTAGCAGTAGTTTCATTTTACTTTTACAAACTTCTTAAAACGATTGTTGAGCTACCTAACGTGCTTATTTCTAAATTCAATTTCATAATCTAGCTTTCGGTTACGTTTCGTAAAAAAGTAGTCTTGATTATCCCGACCTGTCAATCAGACGTAGAATGGTCGATAGACTGGTTAAGCGAGACTAATTTCAAAACAAAGACACGTAACCTATCTTTTACTCAAAAGTGTCTGGATGTTATGGACGACACTTGGAACCAGTTTTCAGTCTATTATTTACAGATGATTAATGGTCATAGCTTATTAAGTACAACATAATCGTTTATTTAGTGACTATAATTGTGTGAAACTGATTTGAGGCTTGGCATATATATAAATATTGTGGCGTAATTGTCGAGATATATGGAGATATTTATTTATGGTGGGTCACCCTATGAATGGTTAGCGTGTGTGCTGTATCATAAAGTCTGTCATTGAGTCAACTGGCGTGGTTTCGAATCCCCTGTTGTACGTGACAAGGAGTAGGGTCGCCTGTCAAACCTCTTGGGTTTTCTCGGGTCCTCCGGTTTCCTCCCACTGCTAAAGACCCCTACGCACAAGCAAATTATTAAAATAAAATTGAACCATATGTTAGTCCCGAAATGAACTGATTGTGTCGTGTGGACGTTAAACCCCATTTCTCTCTCTCTCTCTCTCTCTTGTTTAACATGTATGTCCAGGCTCGTAACTACGGGGGTGCAGGGAGGGCAAAGTTTCGCAAAAAGTTTTGCGCCCCTCCCCCCGGTGTGTTTTCTTCAGGTCTTTCGGTTTCCTCTCATTGCTAAACACCCCTACGTGCAAATTAATTATTGAAATAAAAATTGTTAAATATATTATTCTCAAAATGACCTGGTTAGTGTCGTCAAGTGGTGCACTAAACCCTATTCTGTCTCCAAGCCACATGGACATAAGGCACCTGTCACAGACTTTGTCAAGTACAAATCATCACACAACATATATATCATCACATATACCTTGTGTTATAATTTGTGCCTTATGTCCAGGCTTGTCACAGGCACTTGAAGGGATTAAAATAAAACTTCTTACTACTGCTTGACTATATATTATAGTATATACTGAATATATAGTCAAGCAGTAGTAAGAAGTTTTATTTTATATTTTAATCCCTTCGAGTGCCTGTGAGGCTTGTCTGTCTCTCTCTTTCTATTTGGGAAATCTTTGTGGGAAATAAAATATAAACACTGTTTTTCATATACATGTACTTTGACAGAGAATGAAATGATTTAAATATGGTTGTAAAATAAAACATACTTTCTATCATTTTCCATGGAAACATTTACAATAGATCCTATATTTGAAAAGGCTTTAGTAAGAATTTTCTCTGTCACACCAGAACCATTGACATATATAGTATTGCCTTTCTTTGGAGGATCTTTCTCTCTATCTCTTCTGTCATCTCTTCGATCGTCTCTCCTATCATCTCTCCGGTCTCGATCATCTCGTCTATCTCTGTCGTCTCTTCTATCATCTCGACTGTATCCTACAAGACAGAAAATAGAGAATTTAAAGGCGCTGATTATCTTTTACATACTACAATATTATGAAAGTTGAAACTCTAGAAGGAACAGAATAGATAAAATGAAACGAAACTGAAATGAAATGGGGTTAAACGTCCTACTGCTCCGACTGGGATAATGAAGACGGGTAAACGCCATACAATGTGCAATAAGAGAAATTTTGACCAGGCAGCGGCACTATGGCCTGCTCTTATATCAAATTCTAACTGCCAAGGAATCTTTTACGTGCATGCCAATGTATACACGGGACCTCGGTTTTTCATCCCATCCAAATGACTAGACAATGTCCTTGTCAGGCCCTTCGTCCTGCACCACTGACAAGGGGAAACCACATCAGAAAATCACGATGAACTTTCTCGGCCAATGCAGTGAACCAACACGCGATCTACAGGCTAGCGAGTCAGCGCCTTACCTACTTAGTCACTGTGGCTCCCCCAGAGAATAGATAAAATGGGCGATTTGACCAGTTATCACTATTAAGCAGTAACTAGTTTCATTCGTATTGAACTCTTCAGACTGACGAGGTTCTGTATATACTATTGTGAACTCTGGTAAAATTGTAGGTTTTGGCGGGGTTATTACAGGATGTCTTTTTACCAGGGTTTGGTGTTTTGGCGGAATCTTAGTCCACAAATGGACAGTTTCCGTTCAGTATTTAAAAAGAGATCATAAATTGAAAATCTTGCAATATTCAGCATTCTCTGCAGACAATATAATCATTCCAACACCATCATTAAGTTTTATTAGGCCTTGTTTTAATTCGACTGAATCCAAGTCTAAAGATTATCTACCGTTGAAATTTAGGTTTTGCTTTCTTTATTGAATGTAAATAAAAAATTTGAACAAATTTTAGTGTGGTTTTAGCCATGGGATATTAGACATTGTTAAAAAAAATCAGAGACTTCTTCAAAGTCAGTATTTTTCCTTTCATCATAAACAGGTTGATAAAAATTTTGTTCACATTTGTAATTTTGCGATTTTCAAATTTCCAGTAAATATGGTGAGAAATTTTGAAATGAAACTTACGAGGACCACCACTAACAAAACTTTCATATAATGGTTTTCCTCTTGGTCTTGAACTAGGCTGTAATATAAATAAATATTTAATGTAGAGATTAACGTTCTATATGCAATGATCAATTATAATAATAGTAACGCAATTATGTAGTCTGATCCCTAATACACATGTTCACTAGAGTTGTTCCCCTTGTAAGAATCTAAGGCAGTATGTAAACATGCAGAAATGTCAGACCATCTGAAATAAATCCTACATTATTATCAATCCAGTGTGTTCCTGACTCGTTATTATCTATCAGAGAAAACACAAACATAACACTATACTAAGTAAGTGTCCTGTATTTGGACTGATAATAGAATATTCATGTTTATAACCACCATTTTTTGCTATACTTTGTGAACCTGTATGTGGTGCTGTGTACCAGGCACTGAGTATGATGTCATAGCCGCCAACTTGGAATTGCTACGTCATATCAAAAGTTGAAGTCTGTCAGTATATGAGCAATTATTCCAAAGAACAAACATGCCAAGTTTCTACAGTTTGTGAACCTGTATGTGTGTACTGTAAAACACACTCGGCAAACCTCAGCAGATTTCACTACCCTACATCTAGCCTCGGCTGTATGACGAAGTCAGCCAGCGCCATTGGAACTACTTTCAGGTTCCCAGATTACCAATGGCGTTGCCCATGATGACACCTTCGAAGAATGTTTTATCATACAAATAATTCAAAGTCTGAAGCTATTTTTCTTTCAAGTTTATCCGATTTTCTTCAAACAAGGACAACTTTGCAATGAAAATTCTACACACGCTCCGAACGACGCAATTATGATAACTTCTTTTTAAAAGCGGCAAGTGTTTCTAATAAGTAAACCAGTGCCAAGGCTAGATGTAAAATAACGGAATCTGCCGAGGTTTCCCGAGTGCTGTAAAACAGGCACTAAGTATGACGTCATAGCCGCCATCTTTGAATCGTTAACCAGATTTCAGATTCCCTATCTGTTTGATACCATTGGTTAAACTAGACTTGTGTCAAAATGATCAAGTCGTTAAACCAAACTAAATGAAAATATTCAGAAAGGCAATAAAGGGAGATAACTCTTACTTCTGGTCTGTCATCTCCGACTTCTTCATGTGTAGCAGAAAATGGCTGAAAGCCAACAGCTTTTTCAGAATCCTGAAACAGATAAAAAGAAATTAAAACACAGGTCCCCATCTCAAATACAACTGCATTAGAAAAAAACCTTAATATGAAAGTTATCTATTGTTTTGTGATGGTTTTGAAAATGATCAAAACAGGTACCATTTAAGTTTAAATCAATCTAATTAAAAAACAGATCTATATTTCGTTTTGTTCTTTTATACTTTCGATGGCCTAGACTACATGAAGATCTGACCAGTTGTAGTGGAAGGTCACGTCAGAGGTCATATGAGCGGCTGTTGACCTTATGACGTCAGACATTGATTAATCAATCAACACTGACGTTTCAAGTGGTTTACCCAAAGTTGTGATTTATTCAGATTGAAGTTTAAATAAGTCAAATCATGATTTTAAAAAAATATGTCTTTCATTGACCAATAATAATAGGGTTATTTTTACTTTTATTATTACAGATCTGCCGATAAGTGACTTTGATAAACATATAGTTTTATATACATGGAACTTTTATTATTTTTGCTGGGTTGTGTAATTTATAGCACTGAGATTTAACCAAAGTTGATATGGAGTCATGAAGGCAATGCTACCAATATACTACAATATGTACATGTACATACCTTCATTTTCTTCTCTAGATTATTTGATCTTTTAAATCCTTTCTCACGCTTTCCAGCATCAAGCTTGATTAGCTGTTAAAAAAATGAAATCAATTATTTTCAAAATTTAAAAATGGAATCAATATTAAACCAAACTGTTGACCAATTAATAATAAGTAGTAAAACTCCCTCAGTCATAATCAAACAAAATGTTTCAAGCTAGACGTAATATTTTTTAAAACTCTGTTAAAGGGTCTTTAACATGCATGCCAATGTGTACACAGGACCTTCGCGGTTTTTTTTTCGTCCCATCCAAACAACTATACATTTTCCCTGTCAGGATCTCTGTTCTTCATCACTGACAAGGGGGGAACCACGCCGGAAAACCCCAATGAACTTTCTCTGAAAATGCAGGGATCGAACACATGACCTCCATGTTAGCAAGCCAACATCTTATCAGCTGAAACACTGTGGCTCCCATTATAATAGGGAGAGTTATAGGAGCTAAATCTCTTCAAATTAAAGTATTTGGTTAATCTGATTCAAAAGATTAAACAATTTTAGTTTTAGTTCCATTCATCACTTAATATTTCAATAGAGGAACACACAGTAAATATAAAATTCTAAATAAATCAAAATCAACCAAAGGAAATCAATAAATAGAATCCAACGAAATCAAAATTGTATTTTTAACCCAGATTTTAATCATTTACAAATTAATATTAGTTTACTTACCCCAGATTGTACAAGTTTTTTGGCTTGAACCATAGCATCTTCTGCATTTTCGGAAGCTAAAATGGAAAATATGTTAAACGATGCTATAATTGTACAAACCCATATATGTATTTCTAACAGATATATTACTCCCAGTATGTTGATGCTTCTGTACAAATTTTAGAATTTCGATTTTTTTGTTAGATTTACATGTTTCCTTCATTATTACAAGGTCTAGAATACAATGTTCAAAATGAACTAAGTAGTAACTGTCAGACATGTACATGTATATAAATAACATTAAACATGTTGATGGGGATCGATTTTTTTCTGCACAAAATTACAAGCACAAGAGAGAGAGAGAGAGAGAGACTAGTTTTATTTCAATAAATCGTTTGTGGTAGGGGTCTTTACCAGCGGGATGAAACTGGAGGACCCAAACTCATGAGGTTGGAAAGACGACTCTACTCCTTGTCACGTACAACTGGGAAATCGAAACTACGCCTGTTGACTCAATGACAGACCTTATGATACAACGCGCACGCACTAACCATTCGGCCATCCAACCCCCCTGCTTTTCATAGAACACCTGTGTTTGGGGTGTTGGCCGTTCTTTTCCAAACTGCGGAATCCACTGCGAGCCATATTATAACCCTTGAGGTTATATTTTTCTTTCCCGTTTGAAAGCAACATGCATTTATAGTTTTAGTCTGCATTCCATAAGTAGAAAGGGTATTTCATGAAGAGGGATAATGACGAGCAACTAACAGAAGATTGATAGGCAGAGAGCTATAATATTTGGGGTTTTACACTATTTAGGGCTAGAGAGATCCACCCCCCCCCCCCTTCCAACCAGGCACCAGAGAGATTGTGCCTGGGAAATCCCAAATTTGCATCTGACTTTGTCTGAGACAGGTCCTTAATGTCTAGGCTTCATATTAGAGTGTATACGAAAATCTGTATATCCCTTTATTGATTCTTATTTATTAGTACGCCTAATCATGGAAAAAAAAATAAAAATTTACGTCTTTTTATTTGTTGATTTGTGTCTTGTTTTACTTCTGGTTTAGCTGTTCTCATCACTTGTAACATTTTTTTCTGAAATATAAAATACTGGACAATGAATCAGCTTTATAAGTGTAGATTGCTACATGAATTATCTATCGGGAAATCATTTTCTAAATTAAACAAATTTTGTACTATGGTACCATAGAGAATATAAATTATCTAGGCCTTAATTATATAAACACATCCTTTTATCTACCAGTACAGAATTGTATATTAAATAAAATCTTTATATTCTAATAAATGCTCAAATTTACTCTGGAAATCTTTTGAAAGCAAAGTGTTATTAATGTTAGTGTAGGCCTATTCAATAATTATTCATCAAATTAGCAGGCATGAATGAATGAAATTGGCTTTGATTTGTACATCGAACAAGATGGCCATTGGCCATATTTCTAACCTTTTTCCGTAACTTAGCATATTTAATTTTCAATTGCTCTTCCTCTTCAGTCAAAGCACCTGGAAAATTTAAATAAACCATGACTTTAAACTGAATTTCATTTATTTTCCACAAAAATTGTTTTTACAGTAATTTCCCCTCGGAGTTCTTTTATCAAAAAGTTACGAAAAGTGCACTAGGAGTAATTATTTCTTTTTTTTCTGATTTGATTTAAACATTGTTACATTATTCAAGGAGTTGTTGCCTGACTATTACAGTTCATTATTTAGATACAAGGTCCATGATAATACAAGAGGACATGAGATAAACTAACAAAAATAGAAAGGTAATTTATTTTAAGCAATAACTTCTCCCTAATACCGAAAAGCGGAAGCACATGTTTGTTGTTTACCTCTGAGAAGTGGTTAGCTGTACTAATAATAGTAAGCCGTTTACTGATGAAATTTAGTTGAATTCAGAACTTGCATTTAATATCTAAAAAAAAAGACATGTAAAGACACAACTAGATTTCCATGCAGTTCAATTTAGACCGACTGTCTCCGGCATTTGCTTTTTAAATGACACCATCTATTCTCTGAAAACTGAGAGACGCCCCAGACGGGTGAGGCAAAATGTATGGGCAATTAAGGGGCCATGGAGGACTGTATGTAGATCAGACTAGGCCAGTGCACTGGACACTAGAAAATAACCCTTGAACAAAACTCGCTGTGCTGCACTAATAATCATTGTGAGGCTTCTTGGCGCTATTGCACTTTCGTACCTCTACCAGTTCCTGTGGTCGTAGGAACTTGAAATTATTAGAGGATGTTACGGGGGGCTAGCAATGACCACACACCAAATTTCAGCCGAATCGATAAATAACTTTTTATTTTACCGACCTTTTAATTTCTAACGAGAGAGAACTTCATCCGTTTGACGCCATTTGCTTTGTTTACTAATTAGACTTGAATAACAAGACACTAAGACGGAAACCGACTCGAATAACAAGACACTTAGACGGAAACCGACACACTGCACTAGCTGCCTAACACTGCAGTTCATAAAAATTAATATAATTTTCGTATACTTTAATTTTTGCGCGAAGCCACCATTTTCTATAAAATACTATTTGGTGTTGATCAGTGGATTGGCCTTTAGGTGTGAATATTGCCGTGACCTTGATTTTGACCTTGAGGCCAAACTTCCCATCCATATCGGGGCCTTTGCGTTTATGCTTGCCGTGGCCTTATTTCCTACTGTATTATCAACGTTAATGTACGAGGTGAAAGCAGAGATGACGTCCTTCAGAAAAGATAATTGGGTTAAAGTCGTAGGTCAAGGTCATGTTACAGAAAACTAAACTCAAACTTTTCAAAGTCATTTTTGGGACATTTGACCTTGACTAACGACCTTGACCCCGTAACCATTTTCGAAGGCTATCACATTGGCTTGAATCATGAACGTTTACCTTGGTCCTATCGCACACTGCTCGATCAGAAAACGGTCAAACGCAGAGGGTCCGTGTCCGAAAGGAAGTCAATGGGCGTGGTCAATGTGAAAGGTCGTGGTGACCTCCACTAGTCACCGTTAACCATCCGTAACCTTGACTCTGACCTTGAGTCCAAACGTCCCATCCATCTCGGGCCCTTTGCGTTTATGCTTGCCGTGGCCTTATTTCTAACTGTATTATCAAAGTTAATGTTCGAGGTGAAAGCAGAGACGACGTCCTCCAGAAAAGATAATTGGGTCAAAGTCGTAGGTCAAGGTCATCTTACAGAAAACTAAACTCGGACTTTTCAAAGTCAGTTTTGGGACATTTGACCTTGACTTACGACCTTGACCTTGTAACCATTTTCGAAGGCTATCACCTTGACTTGAACCATCGACGTTTACTTTGGTCCTGTCGCACACTGTTCGGTCAGAAAAGGGTCAAACGCAAAGGGCCCGTGTCCGAAAGGAAGTCAATGGGCGTGGTCAATGTGAAAGGTCGTGGTGACCTCCACTAGTCACCTTTAACCATCCGTGACCTTGACTTCGACCTTGAGTCCAAACTTCCCATCAATCTCGGGCCCTTTTCGTTTATGCTTGCCGTGACCCTATTTCTTACTGTATTATCAAAGTTAATGTTCGAGGTGAAAGCAGAGACGACGTCCTCCAGAAAAGATAACTGGGTCAAAGTCGTAGGTCAAGGTCATCTTACAGAAAACTAAACTCAAACTTTTCAAAGTCAGTTTTGGGACATTTGACCTTGACTTACGAGCTTGACCCGTAACCATTTTCGAAGGCTATCACCTTGACTTGAACCATCGACGTTTACCCTGGCCCTGTCCCAAAAATGAAATAAGGTCACGGCACGCATTGACCACGCCCATTGACTTCCTTTCGGACACGGACCCCTCTCCGTTTGACCGTTTTCTGACCGAGCAGTGTGCGATAGGACCAAGGTAAACGTTCATGATTCAAGCCATGGTGATAGCCTTCGAAAATGGTTACGGGGTCAAGGTCGTAAGTCAAGGTCAAATGTCCAAAAAATGACTTTGAAAAGTTTGAGTTTAGTTTTCTGTAACATGACCTTGACCTACGACTTTGACCCAATCATATTTTCCGAAGGACGTCGTCTCTGCTTTCACCTCGAACATTAACTTTGAAAATACAGTAAGAAATAAGGCCACGGCAATCATAAACGCAAAGGCCCTGATATGGATGGGAAGTTAAGACTCAAGGTCACGGCAATATTCACACCTAAAGGCCAATCCACTGATCAACACCAAATAGTATTTTATAGAAAATGGTGGCTTCGCGCAAAAATTAAAGTATACGAAAATTATATTAATTTTTATGAACTGCAGAGATAGGCAGCTAGTGCAGTGTGTCGGTTTCCGTCTTAGTGTCTTGTTATTCGAGTCTAAATAGTAAACAAAGCAAATGGCGTCAAACAGATAAAGTTCTCTCTCGTTAGAAATTAAAAGGTCGGTAAAATAAAAAGTTATTGATCGATTCGGCTGAAATTTGGTGTGTGGTCATTGCTAGTCCCCTGTAACATCCTCTAATAATTTCAAGTTCCTACGACCACAGGAACTGGTAGAGGTACGAAAGTGCAATAGCGCCGGCTTGAAAAAGGTGCATAGTTGTTCGGATAGGCCAGCATCCCTGTTAATCCTGAACATTTCACAATACCCAGATGAGGATTCACACTGGCGCAATTACTTCAAGTGGTGACATTTCTCCCATATAATAGTCCTGTTGCAAGACAGTTGATGGTTATTTAAAAATAAAAACAAGTTTGTCATTCTACTTATTTCTTTGAACATAGTCAATTTATTTACATGATTGTCTTTTAGACAATTTTATCTGTTTGATAAAATTATTTTATTTTTTTCAGAAAGAATCTGGAATCTTAAATGATGAAGTTTGTTTTGAAGAATGTTAAAAATGGTTGTAGAGCTGGTGTTATATCTGAGTTAGGGAATCATCCAGATAAAACAGTTGATACACCATTCTGTATGCTATATACAAGAGGAGGTAATATATTAAATTAATGGACCACACAAAACACAAGGCCACAGGAGCTAGTTTTTTTTTTGCACTTAAACATGCATCGAGGCTAAATGTCATGTATTAAGTAACATTTTATCTTTGTTAATGTAAATAATGAGCTTTATAAATTGAGAAGATGTCTTTGAATTTCTCAAATTTCTACTTCCATGTAAAATTAATTTTCAGGCAGTGCTCCACATCTTTCAAGGGATGTTTTGAACAGATTGAAGAATTTGCCATTAGTAGCACACATGCCTTTGAATATACTGTAAGTATTATAAAGTATGATATGTACAAACAATAATGAATCGTTAACATAGAGAAATACAATTTTTTTTAATTATCACATTATCTGAACTTAGAATGATGGGTATATATATACTCTGTTTAAACAGATGTATTATTTATTGTACCAAATTTAGAGACCGCAACTGTGTTATATTTGATTTTATTACGATTTTCTGGAATATATTTTACTCTGATATTAGATAATCTGATATCAAGCTACAATATAGTCATTTTTTTGTGAAAGTGGGTTAAACATTGCAATGATTGACCATTGAGTATTGCATATGTTAGTGTTTTCATGATTTTTGTGGATATTTTGGATGGAACCCTTCATTGCTCTGAAAATGAAATATACTTAACCTCAGATTATATCAGTTGTGTTTTCTCCCCACATAGAGCAGATCACCATGAAGCTGTGAGGAAGTTTCAACATGGAATAGGAAAATTTGCAGCCATGAAAGTAAGTATGACTGGTTTTAATTTTGGGGTTGTTTAAAAATATAATAAATTAAAAAATGTTGATAAAGAAAAGAAATATATAAATTACTCTCTTCTCGATGGTAGATTCCCCTAACAAAATCTGATTATCAGTAAAAGCTGCTATTTAAATCAGTTGATTTGCATTTGAGGGATTTTGCATGATTTGAGCAATCTACTGTGTTGTGAATGTTGAATCTCCAAGCGGATTATTAGTCTAAAAATAGTATTTACAAAGATATGGGGAGTTGAAAAAAATTCCACAACATTCAACAGCTTCTGCAGACGATGTGAACAAAGTTTTGGGTCAAATCCATTATTGAACCTTTTTTCAAAACCAGTTATAGCCAAGCTAGATTATATTCCTTTGTTATTTTGGGTTGGTTGTCTTCATTAAATATTAGATAATCAATTTTAGTACATTTTAGCCCAGATATTGTCCCAAAAATGCAAATGGGAGTCAGCAACACCTGAGTATATTATAATTATCTTATTTGAATTTTGAAGCTATTATGTTGATATTGTAGGATTGGATAGTTTATTGTTCTCTACACGATCCATCAACCCTAGTTAAATCAGGTTATAATGATAAAATTGGCGTCTCGGTCTGGGGAAAAGGTGGAAAGTTAAAGGTAAGTATCTATACGAAATCAAAAAAAAATGAATTGGGTTTAATGTCTACTTTTCTGCTCCATCCAGGCTTATGAAGACTGGCATATGGTTAGCATGCGCGCGCTGTATCATAAGGCCTGTCATTGAGTCAACTGGCGTGGTTTTGAATCCCCGGTTGTACGTGACAAGGAGTAGGGTCGCCTGTCCATCCTCGTGGGTTTTCTCCGGGTCCTCCGGTTTCCTCCCACTGCTATAGACCCCTACGCGCAAGCAAATTATTGAAATAAAATTAAAACCATATGTTAGTCCCGAAATGACCTAGTTTGTGTCGAGTGGACGTTAAACCCCATTTCTCTCTCTCACTCTCTCCATAGAAAAGTACTTTTATATTGAAGTTTGTTCCTATTCTTCATTCCATTTTACTTAATTTTGTTTTGGTTTTCAGCTAGATACTGAACTATTTATGAAAATTCAAGAATCATTTCAACCCGATATTTACCAGGCGTTGAGTGATGGTGATACTGATATAAACTCGACTAGAAAAAGATGTATAAAAGTAGTGGATAGAACTTTATCTTTCCTAGATTCAATAGTTGATATACACAGCAAGTCAGAGGTAAGGACAGAACAGTACCTATAATGTACTAATAGAGGATGTTCGATTGTCAGTCGAATTGACAGAATTGCAATCAAGTGATGCAGAATTGTATCAGTCCTTACTTCAGAGGTGGTGTGAGTAGAATCGTGATGTATTTAATAACTGCGAATATGTTTCAGCTGTCATGGTTAGTGGAGATGTTGTCTTATGCAGTTAGGAGCCAGCGTGACTAAGTGGGTAAGATGCTGGCTCGCTAGCATTGGCCGAGAAAATTCTTTAGGATTTTCTATCGTGGTTTCCCCCTTGTCAGTGGTGCAGGACAGAGGGCCTGACAAGAACAGCTGTCTAGTCATTCGGATGGCACGAAAAACAAGTTCTGTGTATACAATGGCGTGCACATAAAAGATCCCTTGGCAGTTGGAATTCGATATAAAAGTAGGCCATAGTTCAGTTTCCCGGGCAAAATTTCCCTCATAGCACACTGTATGGCATATGCCTGTCTTCTTTTCTTCTTCTTGTATTTCTTATGCAGTCGGAGCATAATCCCCAGAATGTTCTATTAAATTCCCCTTAGAATTGTTTGACAAATTGTCTTCATTTCATTATTATATCTAATGATGACCCAACATGGGTTATAGGTTTCAAGTAAAATATCTACTGATACAGATAACGATAGAAGGGCATAACCAAACATATTTTGTACAGTGTAAGTTGCTAATTAATGGTTTTAAAAATGAATGAATTTAGAAATGAATGATTTATTTAAACATTTATTGGTTCATAGTTTACTGTGTAAAATCTTCAATACTCTGATTAACCAATGAGCAATTTGATATTTTTTAAGCAAGTTGATAACTATTTTTATTAGCTGAATCATTATATTTTTATAACAGAGGTTGAAGAAAACTGCTATATTTGGTTCTATTGTTGGAGGTTATAATGAAGCAGAGAGAGTTCGATGTGTTAAAGAAACAATATCTAGACCTGTGCAAGGTGAGAAAATTAAAAAATATAATTAATATAATATCATGTACCACTCTTAATGTCGGTCATATACAATAGGCATTTTTCATACAGACACGTTGACTTGAGGACCCCCTCCCCCCTTAATGCTGCAATCTAGGCTATTTGCTTTAGCAGCATACAATTTAATTATCCCAGTATATACAAACGATTGTTATATATTTTTTCAGTTTTAGTATTTTATATTTTGTCAGGATTTGTTATTGAAGGGTTTTTCAATCCTGGACCAGATACTGAACATTTCCAGATAAATGAGTGTGTTAACTTATTACAAAAAATAATAGTAAGTAAAGATATATTTTTGAAGAGAGAGATAAATTGATTTAAATTCCTCTCAGCATAACAAGTTTAATTTTTGGACTAATATTTGGTATGTCATCTATACCTCTCAAGGGCCCTTTTTAGGGATGTGTAATACCAACCAATGTCTGAACCATGAGGTTTATCATTCAAACTCTCAAACTCTAACTGATTCTTTTGGCATTTAGTTGCTATCCTGTGAATTTACAATTAGTGGTTGAGTTAAAGTCGCTGATCATCATTTACATATAGCAGACAATATCAAATTATTCATGGCTTAACCCACATTAAAATATACAATGATTGATTAACATTTAATCAACAAATAAAAACCAAAATATCTCCTGAGTTGGATTCAGTCAGATTAAAAAAGGGCCCATGCAAAGATTTAACCCAACACTTATGGGTGGCACTGGGTTGTTTATATCATCTGCAGAGGATGCTGAATGTTGCAATGTTTTCAGTTCATCATGTCTTTGTAAAACGGAACTGACCCATTTTTAGACTGATAATCCGTTTAGAGATTCATCTTTAACAATATGGTATTTTGTAAGAGTTTGAAAATCCCCCAGATAGTCTTCAGTTAACAGATTTTAGAAATTTTTAACCAGTTGCACTGAGACCAATAGATAATAATAATAATAATAATCATTTTGTATAGCGCTGAGTGCTCCAGCTAACAGCTGCTCCGCGGCGCTTTTCACAATTAAAATATTACATATAATATAAAACAAATAGTTCTAAAACATTAAAATGTCAACATGTTCATAGTTTAAAAGCACGTTTAAAAAGTTCGGTTTTAAGATTTTTTTTAAAAACAGCAACGTTAGTAGAGTCTTTAACATGTCTAGGTAATTCATTCCACACGTTAGCAGAGGCGTAAACAAAAGCCCGTTCACCAGTTTTAGTTTTTACTGTAGGAACATGAAGTAAGTTTTTATCAGCAGAGCGTAGGTTCCTGCTTGGTTTATACGGGGTTAAAAGTTCATTAAGATATTGTTGGGAACAGTTATTATTTAGACAATTAAAAGTTAAAAGACCGATCTTAAAATTAATTCGTTGATAAACTGGTAGCCAATGAAGATTTTGGAGTACTGGAGTAATGTGTTCAGATTGTTTAGTTAGAGAAACGATACGTGCAGCTTTGTTCTGAATTTTCTGGAGTCTGTTTATATCTGATGCTGGTAATTGGTATAGAAGCGAATTGCAGTAATCTAGTTTGGAGAGAACGAAAGCGTTAGTTAACATTTTAGCGATATTTGACGTTATAAATGGTCGAAGTTTACCAATGTTGTAAAGATGAAGATTTAATGATTTGCAGGTAGTAGAGATGTGACTTTTCATTTTAAGATCGTGATCAAAGTAAACTCCAAGATTTTTAACTGATTGAGAGGATGTTATTGTTGAATCACTGATTTTAACGGATTGAGAAAGAGATTTTCTGCTGATTAAGATGACCTCTGTCTTATCATCATTTAATTTTAGGAAATTAAGATTCATCCAATTTTTTATGTCATCTATACAAGCCTCAAGTTTACAGATTTCGGTGGAGTCACTCGGTGGTTTCAAAGCAAGATACAGTTGTGTGTCGTCAGCATAAAGATGAAAGTTAATTCCATGTTTTCGGATGATATCGCCAATTGGTGTTGTGTAGGCAGTGAATAAAAGGGGACCAAGAACCGACCCCTGCGGAACTCCAAAGCGTAGGGTTTTGGGAGACGATGTTGCTTTCTCAATGACTACATACTGTGACCTGTCAGTTAGATAAGAGCGTATCCATTTCAGACATAGTTCATCGACGCCAAAACGTGTTTGTAACCGGTTTAATAGAATATCATGATCAGTAGTATCAAAGGCGGCACTTAAGTCTAGTAACACTAATACGACAGGCTGTTTATTATCTATGTTAGTAACAATATCGTTATATACTCTCAGCAGTGCTGTTTCAGTGCTGTGACCCTTCTTATATGCTGATTGAAATTGTTCGTCAAGATTGTTAATAACAAAATGGTGTTTTAGTCTCGTGGATATAACTTTCTCAATTAGTTTTGATATGTATGACAGATTAGACACAGGTCGAAAGTTCTTTAAGTTATTCGGGTCTAGATTTGGTTTCTTCAGTAGCGGTTTAACATGGGCGATTTTTGTGAAGTGGCTTACATTACCATGCATAATTGATGTATTAACAATATGTGTAATTATTGGTAAGAGTTCATTTATACACAGTTTAAGTAACCATGTTGGTATTGGATCAAGGTTGCATGAAGAAGACGAAGATTTACTTATCAAATCCTTGAGTTCTGTATTAGAAGCAGGAGAAAAATTTGTAAGGGGTGGACCAGCGAAGGGTTTTTCTTCACACAAGGCAGTAGATATATGATCAGGAAATTCGGAACGAATTTTATCTATTTTTTCATGAAAGAATGTTGAGAACTTTTCGGTTAACTTAGTACTTGTATTTTGAAATCTGTGGCCTTGGTTCTTTAAGAAACTGAAAGTGAGCTTATAGATTTGACGTGGGTTTTTCTTATTTTGGATAAAGCTATTGGAAATGTAACTGCGTTTTGACGAAGAGATAAGACTGTTAGTTTCATTTCTTGCTTGTTTATATAAGTCACGATCAATTTCAAGTTTAGATTTACGCCATCGCTTTTCAGCTTTACGTCGGTCAATCTTTGACTGTCGAATGTCATCTGAAAACCATTTTCTATTCGGTCGTAAAATAATGTTTCTTGTTACGACTGGAGCATGTTCATCAAGTATGTTTGTTAGTACTGCATTATAAAGTTTGATCTGATCATCAACATCGGGAACTTCCTGGACACGATCTAAAAGTTTACTACTTGTTATCGATGTTTTAAAATCTTCAACGCTCAAATTCTTTGTATTGCGATAGGAAATTAAGTTCTTTTTGGTTGAGAAACATGTTGATGTAAATGAAATGAGTTTAAAACCTCTTTAAATCTGTTAACTGTCGAGTAATTTGATTTGTCGACATGTATATTAAAATCTCCAAGTATTAAAATATCTTCAGGACCATCCAGAATACCGTGTAAGAAATCCGAAAATTCATCTAGAAAAGTGTCAATTGTACATTTATTAACTCGTGACTGGGGCGGTCTATATATGATAACTATCCGAAGAACACAGCTGTTTAACTGAATGTTATTTTGAAGAACTTCAAAGCTGGAGTATGTAGATGATGCAACACACATAACATTAATTGAGTCTTTGTGGATAAGGGCAACACCACCGCCATTTCTATTACAACGGTTAACAAGCGAATATTTATAGTTATCTGGAATAAGTTTCTTAATGACAAAACTGTCATTAGGTTTCAGCCAAGTTTCAGTCGATACAAATAGATCAAAATCATTTTCAATAATGAATTCACTAAGTTCATCTGCTTTATTTCTCACTGATCTGGAGTTCACAAGACATAAATTCACGAACTGACATGCATTTTGTTTCGATTCCGGCTTGACCTTTATAGGACAAATTGAAATTAAGTTGTTGTGGTTAACATGGTTTGTACTAATCTTAGATTCTCTCACTGTGATAATAGATTTAATCCTTCTTTTACCCCCTCTCACACCTCTCTTAGTTGATTTAACATTAATCAACTGAGGCTGTTTAAAAGTAGAGTAATTTTCTTGTTTATGTTGATAACAGAGCTCACCAATCTTCAACAACTCAGCTTTGGTGTAGGTGATTATACTCACATAAACTCACAGTTGAAGTAAAATATAAATAAAAACTAAATTGCAATTTCTGCTAATATATCCAATAAAATAGATAAACAAGATCCACTAAACTGATCTTCAAATCAAAACACAGGTACATGCCAAAATTAGCATGGTTTAAAGATTGTTATATCCTTTAAAATACACAAAATAGTAAGAGCTAAAAACACATGCAGCCACCTTGGGCGCCATTATCCTTTGAACTAGAAGGGAGGGCCTGACAAGGACAGCTGTTAGTCGTTCGGATGGTACAAAAAAACGGGGTCCCATGTACACATTGGAGTGCACATAAAAGATCACTTGGAAGTTCGCCATAGTGTTGCTGCCCGGGCAAAATTTCCCTCATGGCACACTGTATGCCCAGCTTCCTTATCCCAGTCAGAGCAAACAGTAGGACGTTAAACCCCATTTCATTTCATTTGAACTAGCAGAATATAGTTATGGGTGTACTATTTATGTGTCGTAGAAATAGTTTGTTTATTGTTATACATGGAAAGGGCTTGCATTAAATTATTGATATTTCTGATCTTTGAAGAGTGTGTGTTTTTTGATTGCAGGAATTTCTACCTGTTGATAAACCACGTTTAATGCAGTCAGTATGGCCACCTGATGCGGTGATACAGGCGTATGAATTAGGAATTGATATATTTGACAGCTCGTATCCTTACATAATTATTAAAGTAGGGCGGTGTAGCTTTCATTAGAGGTTAAAACTAATCTTACCATGATAGACACAGCCTTTTTAGTCACATTAAATCAAAAATTTGCACCATAACAGGACAAATCTGATTAAAACACAGATCCTATTTCGTTTTGTTTTTTTACAGTTCAAAATTTCGTTTTACTTATCTTTAGTACACTAGGATCTGGAAGAGTTGTTATATAACATGCGTTCTGGATGGTGTTCTTTATTAGCCAATGAAAAGATCTGTTACGGCGACTTCTTGATGGAACTGTACATGTATGTAAACCACTAGAAATGTCAACACTGATTGATTAATCAATGTCTGACGTCATAGGGTCAAAAGCCATCCGTACAACCTCTGATGCGACCTTTTCCTGCAACGGTCAGACCTTCATGTAGTATAGGCCATCGAAAGTATAAAAAACGAAACGAAATATAGATCTGTATTATAATCAGACTGAAACAGAATCTGAATATTGTTCATTTGTTTAGATGATTGGTTGAGACAGTTATTGTTAAAATATTGTGAATTTGTTATTCGAGTTGTTTCACATCCTTAACAATTGATAGATATCCTTATATGGTAACAGAAAGAAATTCGGCATTAGTTTTTACTTACAATATACCCACAGAGGAAACCGAGGGTGAAGAATTACCAGATACATTTGAAATTAATTTAAGTGATAAAAAGTAAGAAAGAAATTAATGAAATTACATTACTTTATAGGAAAATAAGGTTGTCTTTTGTGGGGGAGGAAGGGAGGATTTATTCTTATCTTTCTCAATTTCATAACAAAACACAACACAACAAGGTATATATGGATATAAGAGTAGGCGATAGTGCCGCAGTCCGGGCAAAATTTACCCCATAACACACTGCATGCCGTATGTCCGTTCTCATTAGCCCAGTCGGAGCAGAACAGTAGGACGTTAAACCCCATTTCATTTGATTTCTTTTCTTTAGTGTGCATGATATAATTTGGGTTCAATGTGGTTGATCTCCCTTGAATTATGGAATTAAATAAAGAATAATTATTGTTTTTTTCAGATATTTTGATGATTTTAGTCCCTTATTAAAAGATTGTAAATGTTTTACCTGTGAAAATTATACAAGATCTTACGTTAATCATCTGTTAAACACTACAGAACTTTTAGCTAGTATTTTACTCATGATGTAAGTTATATTTTACTACAAAACTTTTCAGCTGGCATGGTTTTGATTCCCCGGTTGTACGTGACAAGGAGTAGGGTCGCCTGTCCAACCTTGTGGGTTTTCTCCGGGTCCCCCCACTGCTAAAGACCCCGGTTGTACGTGACAAGGAGTAGGGTCGCCTGTCCAACCTTGTGGGTTTTCTCCGGGTCCCCCCACTGCTAAAGACCCCTATGTGCAAGCGAATTATAGAAATGAAATTGAACCATGTTAGTCCCGAAATCACCTAGTTTGTGTCGAGTGGACACATTATGCAAGAGCTAAATCTGCATATTGCAGGTATTTCTTTAGGCCTGAAATGTTATCTAAATTATTAATTAGACATTAATTAACCTATCCAGACCATAATCAACTCTCAATGCCCTCTGATGTGTCCGATTTTCATTGGATTTGAATTCGATCTGCTGTTCAATGTCCATTGATGATTAACTGCAAAAATGAATAATCGAGACTTTGTTAATTATCGTGACAGTGGTAACAATGACATTCAAGGCTACAGTGACTTTAAAAGAAGGTTTTCTCAGCTTAGAGTGAAACCAATTTGACTGAATTTTTCAGCATATTCCCTTTACATTATCTAGTTTTTAACTATTATAATGAGAACTGGCAGCTCTTTATCTAATCTTCCATAATGTATCTTTGAGTAACTTTTCTGTTTAGTGAGTAGGAACGAGTAATTTTAAATATTGAAAGGTGTCATGTCATATAAAATGGTCAGGCTGCTCCAGGAGGGGTGGTGCTTGATTTTCAAAATGTTTAACTGAAGAGATGTAATCATTAGCTATCTGTTGCTATTTGATTAGAACAAGACAGGTCTCCTGCACTATCAGAGGCTGTTGAATCTTTTTAAAAATAATTATCTTTTCAGCCATAATTTTCATCATTATTTTGAGTTTTTTGAATCACTAAGAAGATCAATATCAGATGGGAAGTTAGAAGAGTTGAAGAAATTAATAAATAAACAGAAGAAATTACCCTCTGTTGAAAGATGATGATCATTACATTAATAAATATTGTAAATAAATAAATATTTTATACTATAATGATAACATGTGTTTGAATATTTTTGTCCAGTGCCTTTTGAGGAATGCAGGACATCTGGGGTTCAATCTTGGTGTTGGCCGAGAAATTTCCTGGGAAGTTCCAGCCTTAGCTTCCTTTTGTCAGTGGTGTCCAAGAGGGGGAGGGGGCTATCAAGGAACAGCATCTAGTTGTTCAGATTGCATGTAAAACCGAGGCCCGTCTTCATTAGCCCAAGAACAATACCCAATTTTAAGTCTTTCTCGGAACAGCATCTACTCATTTGGATTGAATATAAGACCGAGGTCCAGGCAAAATTGTCCTAATAGTACACAGTATGGAATATGCCCGTTTACATTAGCCCAAGAACAATAACCAATTTTAAGTTTTCTCGATTTGTAAATTCAGTGTTTCACCAAATTAAAATTAGTCATTTGTATTTTGAGACAATCTGTCATTTTCTCATGGCTTAATCTTCACAAAGATTTATTCAATTTGATCTTTTAGCATTTAATTAAAAAAACAAACCAAGGTAGATAATCCTCCAGCTTTGACTCAATTGTGTCATAAAGAGGTGCACCAATTTGGTACTGGCTTGTTTGTATCATTTGCATAGAATGCCAAATGGCGCAAAATTTACAAGAAATCCAACATTGACAATATTTAGTTTGAAAGAGATTCAAAATCTCTCCAATAACAAAATGTGGGCTTTTTACTTTACTGTTAATAAATAGGAAAATCGAATGGGCTAAAAAAAAGAAAACTAATGAATCAGTACTTTCTTGAAGGATACAATATGGTAACTTGATTCAGACCATTATTATATTGGTAGTTTTATTTATAATAACAGACAGCTTTATGGATAACATTCACTAGGTTTATTAACTGCAATGTTTCAATGAGGTTACTCTCACCATTATCATACAAAGCGGTCTCTTGGTCTGTTATTATATATATCGCTTTAAAGGAGCTAAATCACTAATATTTGGGACCTAGAAATTGACAAAAATGGGTCGCAACGCATATAATAATGTAATATGAATGTATATAAACTCATTTACATTCAATCGTTTCTATTTTTACTGTAATTTCTAATCAGTTATGTTCGGCGAAATACGCCAGAAGTCTTATGTGAATGGCAATCTTTAGCATCTGGTTTTTCCAGTCTACACCGATAGTATTTATTGCGCATGCTCTCGAGATAAGAATATAGCGTCACCATTTGACATGACTTGTAAAATATATCTAGCTCTGTTCTTTGAGTCCCTTGTTCCAAATGGCGCTGAAACGCATTATGGTACACGATTCGTGTACCAATGGTAAAATGTTTATTTTGTCTTGAATATCCGATATCAGAAGCCCATGTTGATTTGAATTGACAAATAATTTGTGTTTTCAATGTCGAAGATTTTTGATGATGTTGAGTTAGAGACTTGGCTACTTTAACTAAATGCCCTTTAAAGATAATAGTTTTATTTAGACTAGATAATATAAAAATAAACAGTTTTATAAAATATAGTTTTATATCAATTATTATATACTTAATAAAGAATTACTGTAACAATCATGATAACAGAAAATAAAGTTTGTAGTCTGATGTGTTTCTGCCAGAAGCTGTATGTAAAATTAGTTAATATTTATCGTCTACAGAATGTTTCTGTTCTTAATTTGCTATCTACCTTAAATAAGTAAGTTGTACTCAACCTCTAAACACATTAACAGTACCGTTAACACCTTTATCACTAAAACATTCTAGTTATTTCACAACGGACAATGTGATGATCATTATTGTGATTTAAAGCGTTTTGAAGGAGACTCTGTCGTCTCTGCATCTTTTTCTTGTTTTCCTTTCCCCAACCAATTCATCATAAAATTACTGCCAGCAGATTTCTTTGGTTTCCTGAAAACATGACAAATAACTCATGCAGAAATACTGCTAATGACCCTTCACATAAACCCCCCAGATAATGCTTTGGTTTTAAGTGCTGTATTTAATGAATTGAAGTTTGACATGGGAAAGATAGGAATAGGACATTCTGTGTATTTCCAAAAGCCACATTAATCGATCAGATAACATCGATGTTGAGACTCAGGACAGAGATTGTTAGAAAGATATATGCTGAATTTTATCAAAATACATTCAAAAGAAAGTAAAATTATTGTAGGCAGGGGTAAAATAAAGAATCATTGGATGTTAAATATTTTATAACTAACTGTGGATATGGCCATAATATGCCAGCGAAAAAATCAAGATTGCAAAGGGGTCATAACAGGTTTCCATAGTTTACAGTAAGCGACATTATAGAGGGGGTACTCGATTGAAGGTTCCGGAATTGAATTCTCTCAATCCCAAAAATAGTGACAATCGAGTGAAATGGTGTATTTCGGGCTACAACGCATGCGTCGACTGAATCAGTATATATCTCAACCAACCATGCAGCTGATACATTTTAATTACGTCACGATTCTACTCACACCACCTCCGTTGTCGGGACCGACAGAACTGTGACAGAACCGAATTCCGCCTTACTCGATTGCAATTCTGTCAATTCTGGACGTTCTGGACTGTGAATCGAACATCCCCGGAGAGATAAAAGAATACAAATACGAGAGCTTAAACTGCATATTCATCAAGTACTTTGAAAGGTGATTTATGACAAATTATATTGGCTTACCTGGATTTATTTCCCTTTAACACTATGTTTTGAACCACATTGTGTAGGCGCACAATAATAAATAGTGTAACTGATATAAGGATGATTTAATTTACATGTATCTAAAAGTATCTATTACTTACTGTGGGTCTATTTTTTTCACACACTCAGGTGATTTATTTCTCGAGTTATTTACTATAGAGGATACAGGATGCATTGTTAAACAATCTGTTGGTCGAATTAACTTACTCGCCTAAAATATAATACATATCATTTCATTATACAGATAACTTTATTTGTTTTTATTTTTTAACTAAACTTGGAAAGAAAAAAAACTGTGATATGCATCGTACTGTGAGGTTAGCGTATCGTTGCAGCCCTAATTTTTACATATAAATATTGTAACATAATTATAATCATTCTAACCTTGCTAAGAGGAACATTACCAAAATCCAACCATTCTTCTATTTCAGCATCATTTGTTAATATAGCCTGTAAATACATAATATATAAATAATATGAAAACACCTACACTAAAGAGGCTAAATTTATGACTTGATCCAAGGATGGAATGACAATGGAAATGGGATGAAGCAAATTATAGCTGGGTGATCTCAGGAATAACTCATGGTAATTCTTTCTTGTGTGTACTGGCAGTGAAAATGTGAAATAAATTCACAAGGCTTAGCAAACGACCCGAACCCCTTGGATGAAAGAACAATCAAGAATAACAAGACTTATGCATCAGATCTGTGGTTTCCAACATTTCCTACTCGCAGACCCTTTGGGACAATTTACAAATATCTGAGGTCTACATCTGCATTTACTCTGTTCAGTCAAATTCTGGGTGTTAGGGCTTACGACAGAAACGTGCGAATATCGAAAGGAACTGACATCTTTGGGATATAAACATATATTTTAAGTTTCATCACTATTTACACCATTTGCGTTCAAGGAGCGGCCATTTTGTTGGGAAGTTTTGGTCCCATTTTTCGAATTTCGAACTCAACCATCATCAGGGTGTAACGATGATATACATAAACGATTTTTAAAATTGGATAAAAATTGTGACCTCTAGAGGGTCCACAGGCTAAAATCGCAATTTTTCGTACAATCAGGGGTCATAATCTGGGAAATTACTGCTCGATACAAGACAACATCAAAAGGAACTGAGATCTTTTGAAGATAAAACCAACATTTCCAGTTTCGTCAAAATCAGTTAAAAATTGTGACCCATAGACTGTCCACAAACAAATTGTGGACGTCTGGATGGACAGGGGAAAGGGACGAAGACAAATAAAAATGTGGGCATATAAAAATGTGTTACATCTAACTGCAGCAAGATCATTCCTATTGTGACTCCTGATATGATCTATAGAAATTTATTATTTACCGGCATTCTATGATGAATCCATGCCATAGCAGGTGATGAATCAACTGTTATTATACTATACGAATATAATTCATCTGATCCCTGTCAATATAAAAACATCCATTATTCTCTTTCAATTGTAATATTACTACTCTACAGAGTCATTTCGGGACTAACATATGGTTCAATGTTATTTCCATAATTCGCTTGCGCGTAGGGGTCTTTAGCAGTGGGAGAAAAACCCATGAGGCTGGACAGACAACCCTACTCTGTGTCACGTACAACCGGGGAATCAAAACCATGCCAGTTGACTCAATGACAGTTTTTATGATACAGCGCGCTTGCGCTAACCATTTGGCCATCCAACCCCCCACAAAAAAAGTTGAGACACAGTAGTATTAAATGTAAAATATTAGCTAATTTCTTGCAAATCCACTATCAACTTAAGGTCACTGCTATTAATTTTAATCAATTCCGAAGCGCTATTAATAAACCAACCCCAAAACTTCTAATATTTCAGGGAGACGTTAGGGTTATACTATACAAAAACAATCATTATGTATGGAGAGCAGTTAAAGGATTTCCACATGTAAATCATTAGCCAGATTTTGACATGTTACTTACATCGGGAGGTTTCCAAACCTCAAACACACCTGCTACTGTTAATAAAGTTGATTTCTTTTCTTCTACAAAACAAAGATATATCATTAATTACTACAGTAAGACATAAATACTACAGTCAAAGACCAAAGATATAGATACTACAATCAAAGATAGAGCATCAATACTAGACTCAAAGATATAGCATCAATACTACAGTCAAAAATATAACATCAATACTACAGTCAAAGATTTAACATAAATACTACAGTCAAAGACATAGCATAAACATTACAGTCAAAGATATATCATCAATACTACAGTCAAAGATATATCATCAATATTACAGTCAAAGATATATCATAAATACAGTCAGAGATATAGCATCAACACTACAGTCAGCGATATATCATCAACACTACAGTCAAAGATAGGCTATATCATAAATACAGTCAGAGATAGAACATCAACACTACACATTGATCTACACGTAGAGGCCTCAAAGTTCAGATTTCTTGTACCACAAAAAATACTGTAGCCAAACAGAACTACATGTAGTATGGTACATTATTTACTGCTACAGCATATATATTTCACACAACAGGTGTTCGTGTATTAGACCTAAATAAGAAAATTTAAATAGATGAGTAACTTTAAAAGCACCTTTATGTTCAGCACTTCTCTCTAAATCTTTAAGTTTCGAAGTTGCAGATTTATTAATAGGTTTAACATTATTATTTTCTGCCGATTTCAATTTTATGTCACTGGTTTCAACTTTTATGTCACTTGGTTCTATTTTTATGTCTGTGGTTTCAACTTTAATGCCACTTAGTTCGGGTTTAACCTCCTCGCTATTTTCTGCTGGTTCTAATTTTATATCACTTGTTTCAACCTTTACATCACCAAGTTCTACTTTTACTTTCGGGTCCTCCCCTTCCTGATTTTCCTTTTTGATGTTAATTTCAGATTTTATTTCTGATTTGCCCTCTTTATGACCATCATTGGGAAAATATATAAAATAAGGCTGTTTACTTTCTTTTGTTCTTTTCCATTCAAAAAACCTACAACACAAAAATAAATTTTCATTTTGACACATTTTAATTTCATTTTTTCAATTGTAAACATTTTTTTAGCGAACACACATTTTTTAAGCGAACACACATTTTTTCAGTGTGCAGACCTTTTTTCAAATAAAAACTTTGAATTAATAACATAGTATGTATATTACTGATTGCCTTAGCCTTATTTCCAGGGGGGGGGGGCATGGCCAAATGGTTAGCTCGTGCTCATTGTATCATAAGGTCTGTCATTGAGTCAACTGGCGTTGTTTTAATTCCCCTGGTTGTAAGTGACAAGGAGTGGGGTCGCCTGTCCAACCTCATGGGTTTTCTCCGGGTCCTCCGGTTTCCTCCCACTGCTAAAGACCCCTACGCGCAAGCGAATTATTAAAATAAAATTAAACTATATGTTAGTCCCGAAACGACCTAGTTTGTATCAAGTGAAATGCCCTCATTTCACTTACCCATCTGCTAAAATAACACATCTTCTTCCTTTCTCTAATGGTATTTTATAAGTTCTCTTTGTTAACATTCCTTCTGCCCTGCAGTTGTTTGTTTCATACTCTAGTTTATAAGGATCTCCTTTATGCCAGGTAGGAACCAGTCCCCACTTCATTGGTTGAATAACTCTTTCAACTCCATCCTCGAACTCCGCAGATGGGAAATGTTGCCTTGACAGCATGACAGGTCTAAAAACATAAGCAAAACTTTGTTATTTGGGCATCCTGTAACTTTAATCTGTATTAAAAGTACATAACTTGATGTCACAATGAAATATACACTTCAACTTTATGCCGATGTTGCAGTCCACCAATTACATACTCGTGGCAAGACCCTTACATGTATCTCATATATTGGAACTTTTACTATACTAGTATACCATGCTTAGACATGCCCTTGCTTTGGCCAAGAGCTAAAATTTGTATTAGAATATTATGTCTTTAACTCTCAACCAAAGAAAGAGCTGCATCAATAAAATATTTTGGTTTTTGTGAATGAGAGAGAGAGAAAGAGAGAGAGAGAGAGAGAGAGAGAGAGAGAGAGAGAGTATAACACTAACTAAACTAGGTTATTTTGAGACTAACATATGGTTCAATTTTATTTCAATAATTCGCTTGCACGTAGGAGTCTTTAGCAGTGGGTCGAAACCGAAGTACCCAGAGAAAACCCACGAGGTTGAACAGGCGACCGTACTCCTTGTCACGACAGTTGACTCAATGACAGACCTTCTGATACAATGCGCACGCATTAACCATTCGGCCAACCAACCCCCCCTTGTGAATTAGACCCCAGCTAGGGCTATAATAAAGGCTCAGTGTAACTATGCACTATTTGATGTCAAAAGGAATGGAACTGGTTATTGTGAAAATTCCTGATTACCGTATTTTGTTTATTCATATTGCTTTATGTTGTTCAAAAAACACAACTGGTCCAATCTAAAACAGAAAATACAGACTTACGTGTGTGATCCAGGTGCAATATTATGGGATGGGTAATATTTTTTACCACCAGGAGCATCTCTCCATGATGGTTTTCGGAGTTTACCATCTTTTGACTTGTAACATGTCGAGTCACAAATATCATCAGGTGCTAGGGTACTGAAATAAAATATTAAAAAGAAAATTTTCAAAAGTTGGATGAATTATTGTTACAGCCACTAACACAATCTGTTTCACAGAGCATTACGAAAGTCTTCTAATATCTCTGTAAAAGATGACTACCTTTAACATGTGACGTCTCATCATGCGGCGTCAATCATTGGCTCAATGGCGCTTGCATTGTTTACATAAGACCTTACTGGTTCGGGCGGAATGGAGCCTTTTACTCAGGTTAATACCCATTTACACTAAATAGGAAATAATTTTTACCTACAAATACGTCAAATGTCTTTATTTATTTTTCTAATACTTAAAAAAAATGTTTTAGAATTTAATTTGTCGGAGGAAAAAAGTTAATATTTGGGTCTCATTAAGTCGCATCCATGTCATCCTTATCAGTGATTGTCGTGGCCTAGCGAATATTCACTGCTGATTCGTGTGCCAATAACACTGCCACAAATAAAATGATAGTCTTATATTAGCTACATTTCATAGTAATATCAGCATATAATTAGTTAACTACGATGTAAAAGATCCCTTGGCAGTTGGAATTTAATATAATAAGAGTAGACTGTAACGCCGCAAAATTTCCCTCATACCATACTGTATGGTGTACATGCCCATCTTCATTAGCCCCGTCAAAGCAGAACAGTAGGAAGTAGGATTTTAAACCACATTCATTTCATTTCATCTAGTGCTTTTTCACAGAAACTGTTTAAAACCTTGCAAATTTTCATAAAGAAACAAGGGGGTCACAGTGGCTAAAACCTTGCAAATTTTCATAAAGAAACAGGGGGGGGGGGGACCGTGGCTAAGTGGGTAAGACACTGGCTCGCTAGCCCGGAGATTGGGTGTTTGATCCTTGCATTGGCCGAGAAAGTTCATCTAGATTATCCGCTGTTTCCCCCTTATTAGTGATGCAGGACTTAGGGCCAGAAAGCTGTCCTTGTCTGGTTGTTCGGATGGGCCAAAAAACAAGGTCCTGTGTACACAATGGCATGCACGTAAAAGATCCCTTGACATTTGGAATTCGATATAAGAGTAGACTGTAGTGCCGCTGTCCGGACAAAATTTCCCTCACAGCACACTGCATGGCGTATGCCCGTCTTCATTGGCCTAGTTCGGAGCAGAACAGTAGGATGCTAAACCTGACTTCATTTCATATAAAGAAACAAAATTTAAAAAAAAAGAGGTGAAAGAATTTTCAAAATCAACATGCACTAATCAAAAGACATGATTTTAACTAAACTAGCATGATTGCTCGATCACATAATTCTAGAACTATCAAAATTGTATATAAAATATCATGGGCAGAAACCTGGGTATCATTTAATCTTGTGTATCTAGCAATACTTTTTTTTTCACATTCGTTTAATATCAAATCTTTGTTTATAAATTTGTAAAAATCGTTTAAAATCACCAAAAATCATCTAATTTGTACTTGTGTCCAGTTTAAAGTTGGCTGATTAATTTTTATAATGAGTGTCTAATTTACAAGTATTTAATTTCCTGACCACTGTTCAAAAATCCATCCTTATACATCATTAATCAATGGGGATGTTTATTTTTTAACTTGTCAAGAAATTAAACACTCAAAATTGAATGGTCAGATTCTTGGTGATTTTAAACGATTTTTTAAACAAAGCATTGATATTAAACGAATGTGAAAGAAATTAGTGCTAGATACACAAGATGAAAATGATGCCCGGGTTACAGTGTATGTAGGGGGAAAACATCCTTGCTGTGCTACCTTGTGTCAAAGCTGGTTTAATACCAGTTCATCCAGTGAGTTATGTTAAAGCGAGAATTTCATATATTCTAAGAAAGTCAAAACATAATTATTTCTATGTCTTTTGCTCAATAGGTTGTCAACTCACTATTATACGATCATAGTTATCATTCTCACACTCAAAACTGTTTCACACCGGAAATAATAACACAATTACCTCGGTTACCTCCCTTGTTTTTCTATTCCCTACCATGGAATAGCTATCTTCAAACGTTTGAATTTGAAGTTGAAAATGATATTTTTGACAATTTCTCAACTGGCAATAGTGAATTATAGGATTAATAGAATTATTCTTTATCAAGGTAGAACTGTATATACATACCAATTAGCATCGATTTTAAGGCTTTATTTTAATACATTTTAAAAATATAACTTAAAAATATTAAATTGTAGCTTTAACTGTCATGTGTAGTGCATGACAATGGGGTTTAACTTCTAAGCATATTGAGACTAGCATTTTGCCTTTTCTTATTTTGATTTCGTGCTGGGATACAATACATGGTGCTTCGTTTTTTGTCCCATCCTAACAACTAGATAGATACTTTTCCTTGTCCTTGGCAGCCCCCCCCCCCCTCCGCTTTCCGTTCGGCGTTCCACTTTCTGCACAATGACAAGACAAGAGGAAACCATGTTGGAAAATCAGTAATGAAGGTTGTCAATTTTTCATGAACATATAATAATAACTGATGTATTGACAAAATCATAAACTTCTTGAACACGTCAGCGTGTTTACTTTTAAATATTTGGTAGAGTAGGTCAACCTTAATTAGGTCACGAACTGTTAAAAAGTACCGACATCACCTCCGCTTAGAAAAGTGAAAATCTACCATAAAAACAAATTAACACATTATAATATAAATTCGTACCACGCCGTTCTTCCACACATTGCATGCGGCTTTAGATGTCAAAGGGCACAAATATAAAAATATTCAACGATCTCGGAAAATGATCTGACATGCATCCAGCGATTACTTCCCGCGGTTTTTATTTGTTGACATTTTTGACGTTTGTTAAATTTAGTGCACTTATTATTTTATGAAATAACGAAATTGATCGCGGTCCATATTTTCCTTTTAAAACCATCATCCAAAATTTTTCGGGCAACATTTGATATTCTAATTCTCAAATTTTAAAACTTTTAGGAAATTCCAATATCCAAACTAGTGTTATTGATTTCAAACTTGTTTATTTCGTTACGTTCTTAAAATTGTAAAATTTGTGATTAATATTTACACTAAAAAATGGAGCCAATGAATAGTGTCCTAATTTGAATCAAGGCTTTGTCGCGTGTGGGTTTGTTACATAGCAGACAATTGGCTTGATGTTGGCACGTGACCTATTAATGTCAGCGCACTGTAGGTCAGTCTCCCAAGAGAAAATAAAGATTATTCGACCGATTAATTACAGTAACAACAGGGGAAACACATTGGTACTGGGATAATTAAGGATGCTTTCCTTTTGAGGATTTAGCGAATGAAGTCATAAAGTACTTCTGAGTTAAATAATTCGACGGTTTCTTTCGTTGAGCCGAAAAGCATAATCCAAGATGGCGTCGGAAAGCGGTACCTCCTATTTTCAGGTTAGTTATCCAAATTTAGAATGGGTGTGCAAAAGGGTGTGATGTACATGTATTGATATTGTGAAGTCGGAATTAATTAATTAGCCAATTAAGCGGTGGTCGACTTTTCATTGATTACTTATTAGCATCACGCCCAAATTAGTTGTACGACACAAGTGTAAACAAACGATTTTGTAATAATTATTTTAGTTTCGTTCTACTTTCTTCTCTAACTGACAGTGTCCTTATTTGATGGGTTAGGCCTAGAGGCTAGTCTAGTGGTGAATAGTATAGCCTATATTAGGCCCATGTCAGTGTACAACCCAAACATTATTTAGAACATATTTATTTACAGATCTATATATAATTAACTAAAATACAAATGGTCACATCCAAGTTTGAAAGTTTTGTTTGTATAAATTTGGTTGGGTTGGGTTGGGTCACTTCACAAACATGGGTGGGCTATAATTTAATTAAGGTATTATATGTGTCTATTAAATGACGTTGGATTTGGACAGAATCTGAGAAAAGCAAGGTCCTGTGTACATGTTAACGTTGGCTTGCAAGTAAAAGAACCCTTGAAATGTGGAATTCAAAATATGTGTAAAGAGTATGCCATACTTCCGCTGTGTGGGCAAAATTCCATGCTCGTCTTATTAGTCTATTTGGTGCAGAAAAGTAAGGCGTTATTATTTTATGAAACAACGAAATTGATCTTGGTCCATTTTATTCACTTTGATGAGGTCCAAACTATTGCACGATTTAGCTATATACATGTTTATGTGTATCATCATGACAATGTCTATGACATGTCCCTTATGTACATGTATGTTCAGGCTTGGTATCAGTAGTAGTAGTAGTTCTTGGTGTTTAACGTCTGCTTCCACATAAGTGATATCGCAGACAAGCTTGGTATCAGGTTTATGCTTAGGCTTATATACTGAGTCACTCTTTCTAGAACACCAATACCACTTCTCATTGGAGGAATTCACAAAACTAACATATATATTTGTATTGTGACATTTTTTTTGGCAATGGTAAAAGTTACATTCTCAAATAAACTTTCTGTTAAGCACCATTTCATGCAATGGTTCTACTAATGATGTCTTCCACCTGTCTCCAGCCGCAGTAGTGGATCGTTCTACATGTACCTTTGAGCAGGTTTTGTCATGATTTGATGACAAAAATGTTACTGGCCTATACTGCCTTAATTTTCAATTAAACCAACCCCAAACTGTACTGCACATAGCTTAAAGCATAATAAACCAATTCCCATTGAAATAAAGATGAAACCATACCGCATAATTATATGATTTGATAAAATCTACATGTAACTGCAACACCTGCCGAACCAGAATTAGAATATGCACATGATTTCACTTTAGCTCGAAAATACAGAAAAACTGTTCGGTAAGAGTTCAGTGTTCCACTCGTCACGATTTGTAACATAATTAATTATTTCCATGCAAACTGTGATGATATGCGTTGAAAATTTTGCAATTGAACCTAATATTACTTGCGCATGAAGTAATATGGGTAATACCATGAATACCAGTAAGAATTATCATGGCTCACAAATATTGCAGCTACATTCCACAGATTTTACAGATGAATTTGAACCGAAAGGTTGCCAACTTATAATCAAGTTGGAAAATACTGTTGATTATATAATAAGGCAGATAAACATCAATACATCAAGAAATATTCCTGACTTTAAAATTAGCCAACTTAAACAAAAATTCCTTTCAGCAATTCTCTAATATATAGATTCTGTAACTGTAGTGTATCAGTTAGTAACCAAATTAATACTGTAATAATACTTGCATGTATTACATTTAATAATGTATTCTATAATATATATATATATGTCACCTTTTCATGAAGAAAATGAGTGAATTATTCTAGCGTAAGGCATCAGCATTACATGTAGGTTTCTGACTGGGTTCAGTATTGCTTTATCAGTTGATCACAGAGTTTCTTGACAATGTAAAGATGCATGTACATATGTATATCAAAAGTAAATTGTAAATGGGTTGGAGCCTACAAATTTAAAGGACCTAAATCGCTAATATTTGGGACCTAAAAATTGACCCAAATGGGTCGCAAAGCATATAATAATGTAATCTGATTGTACATTGTATATAAACTGATTTACATTCAATTGTTTCCGTTTTGACTCTTAATTTCAAATCAGTTATGTCTCAACCCTATATCAATTTCTAGCGTCTGGTTATTCCAGTCTATTGAGCAGGCTCTCCAGTTGAATATGTCTAGCCTCGTTCTTTCTGGTCACTTGTTGCAAATGGCGCTAAAACGCACTATGGTACACGATTCGTGTACCAATGGTAAAATGTTTATTTTGTCTTAAATATTGGATATCAGAAGCCTGTCTTTTCCTGGTAAGATCACAACATCAATGTTGATTTAAATTGACAAATAATTCGTATTCTCAACGTGTATGACTTTGGATGATATTGAGTTAGAGACTTAGCTACTTTAATCCTTCCTAATTTGATGAATCTTAATATAATTACTTGTGTAAAAATTTGAAACTGTTGATGGGGATAATAAACTTAAATTTTAAAAAATCTTTTGCATGAAAATCTACAATTACATCATAAATGTTAAAGCTACAATTTCATATTTTAAAGAAAGTCAAAACATAATTACTTCTATGTCTTTTGCTCAATAGGTTATCAACTCACTATCATACGATCATAGTTATCATTCTCACTCTCAAAAATGTTTCACACCGGAAATAATAACACAATTACCTCTTAATTACCTCCCTTGTTTTTCTATTCCCTACCATGGAATAGCTATCTTCAAATGTTTGAATTTGAAGTAGAAAATGATATTTTTGCCAATTTCTCAACAGGCAAAAGTGAATTATAGGATTAATAGGAATATTCTTTATCAAGGTAGGACTGGTTATACATGTACATAGCATCGATTTTAAGGCTCTATTTTAATACATTTTAAAAAATATAACTTAAAATATGAAATTGTAGCTTTAAACAACTACAGGTATATGTACATGTAAGCCCCAAAAATCCACTTCATGTATTGCAAAATAATTCATACTAACAAGAGGTTTATTAAAGATACATTATGGGAGATTAGATAAAGAGCTGGCAGTTCTCACTATAAACTATAATAGTTAAAAACTAGATAATGTAAAGGCAATTTGCTGAAAAATTTCAGTCAAATTGATCCACTATGAACCAAGAATTAAGCGATTGAAATTTTGGCCTAGCCTTGATCATCATTACTAAAGTCAGTACGATAAAAAACATTGTCTTGATTATACATTTCATGATTAAATCATAAATGAAAGTTGAGCAGCAAATCGGATCATAATCCAATAAATCTGGCAGGCTAGTGTTGACATCGAGAGTTGATTATGGTCTGGAAAAGTTAATTAATGTCTAATTGATAATTTAGATAACATTTCAGGCATAAAGAAAGACCTGCAATAGGCGGATTTAGCTATTGCATAATGTATGTTTAAACAAAGGCAAATGGAATTACATGTACCAATATTGAAGTACATGTACATGTACCTGGTAAGTGCACATGTACTTCCATTTTCATTTTGTCAATTTATGATATAATTATATTTAATGTGCTGAGCTCTTACTCCCGGAAAATAAATGTATTTTATTTTTTGTTATTTTGAGAATAATTGTTTGCTTTAAAAAAAATTGTATTTAATTTTTGGTTTTTGAGAATAATCTAGAACCACCTAATACACGTAGATCAACATATTTTGCACTCAATCAGCATTTGTAATCTGTGTTAAGAAATTGTCTGACGTAAGAAAACCATTCAGAAAACTGTCTTGACTTTATAAACAAATTGATCTTGGAAATGGATTGACAGATTTGAATCAATTTTGGCATACATTCATCTTGATTGTCAAGTCCATATTACTTTAATGGTCGGAGAGGTGGAGCTAACCAAAGGGCATTGAATGCAAACTGCAAGTATTCACAAATACTTGACTCAAAATCAACTGTGCTTGTGTATTTAAAGATACTTAAGAGTTTAATAAAGAGTTGGCCATTCTTGCTATAATAATTCAAAAATAGATGTTAAAAAAAGAAAATATTGAAAATTTCAGTCAAATTCTGCACAGAGTTGTCACTTTTGGAAGTTTGGACTAGAAATAGGCATCAACTGTGTCCACACCGTCTACAAGAATCGCAGATTTATTGACAGACGATAACTCTACCCACATATTCTCGATTTTCCAGTAACATTCTCAATGTCTATGGTATCCTTGCTTGTCAGGCCTTTCTTCACCAGTCTCCGGTAGTGACGTCAGTGACTAACGGTAAACGTTAGCTTGGCCTGCCATTTATTGATTTAATTTTAAATGGACGACTGTGTAAATCCAAGCCATCCAAGGGTCTACAGAGTTGATTTTGAGCTTGTCATGTAAATAAAAGTCTAATTAATAATTTATATAACATCTGAAGCCTAAAGAAAGACTTGCAATAGGCAGATTTAGCTCTTGCATAATGTATGTTTAAGATGGCCAGATAACATCTGAAACCATAGCTAAATCCACTGAAGAACACAAATGGCCATGGATTGGACATACATGTACATGTACATTGTGTGTGCATGCCACATTGATTCTCATACACAATACATTAGAGTAGAACCCGCAAGACTTACCAAACTTGACTGCCAGTGACAGCGTGGAGTCTGAATTAAAGACCATCGATATCTCGTAAAGAAATCACTGGAAATCTGCTGTAATGGTGCTAGGAACGGAAAGGAAGAAAAATTATTTTATTTTCTTGTTGATCATTGATGCTTACGAAAGTAAAGTAACAATGCCTCTTTAATTTTGATTTGATGCCCTGTTATTGTGATTACTGGTACAAAGTACATGTACATGTTATCTTTTGACTCACCTGAACTACAATGATGATCTGTAAATAATATCACAACCCCTTGCGGTTGATAACATTTTATGAGGCTAGAAATGATACAAACTACTTGACTCTGTATTGTAAAGCACTATAACACATGACATTTGTGTTATATTTAGAAGATAGCAATTTGTATGTACATGTACCACTACATTATATAATGCCCTCTCTCTCGTGCTAGTCAAATTTTAAATTTGAATCTGTAAGCTTATCTATTACACATGTTGGAAATGATATTCAAGACAAATTCAGTTTAGATTTGATATAGTTTTGTATGCTTATCTGTTCAGACATGTTGGGAATGAAATTCAAGAAAGATTCTATTACCTAGGACGACATCAGGAAGGTTTTTTCTAGGCTGAACTGCATAACATAATGTTGTGCTAAAATTACGGCATAATGGTTGAAGTTGCCATTTGTATTTTTTGGACAATATTTAACTTTTCATGTCTTATTGTCCCCCTGCCTTTTGAAGAAAGCAGAGGACTGTTAAAAATGGGTCTGTCCGTCCGTCTGTTTGTCCATCACACTTTTTGGGACACAAAGATGAGCATTTTCTGCTTAGGGTAAGCAGAGATAAGCAATTTGATTGGTTGATGTTTTTGGACACAATAACTTTGATTCTAATTAAGTGAGAGTGATGAAACTTGGTGTATAGTTTTATCTCATCAATACCTTGACTAAGTTCGATAATGAGCATTTTCTGCTCAGGGTAAGCAGAGCGATAAGTAATTTGATTGGTCGAGACTTTAGAGCTTGACAACTTTGATTCTAATTGAGTGATAGTGGTAAAACTTTGTGTATAGTTTCATTACATCAATACCTTAACAAAGTTTGATGCTGAACATTTTCTGGTTAAACGAAGTAGAGACTAAAATCTGATTGGTCGAGACTTTGGAACACAATAACTCTCCTTCTAAGTGAGGTAGAATGTTCAAAATTGGTGTAGGTGAATGCCATTTTTCATTAAGGCTAAGCAGAGATAAGCAATTTGATTGGTTGAGACTTGGGAACTCAATAACTTTGGTTCTAATTGTGTGAGAGTGATGAAACTCTGAATATAGATTCATTATATCAAGTTCGATGATGAGAATTTTCTGCTCAGACTGAGTTCGATCTTGAAGATTTTATGCTTAGACTAAGCATAGATAATCAGTTTCATTACTCGATACTTTTGAAAAAGATAAATGTGCAATTATTTAATATGTGTCATCTGTTAATTTTTGGATTTTGGCGGGGGAAGTCCGCCTTACTGTGGGCTTGTTAATGCACATTAAAACCTAACTGGATTGATTGATTGACATTTCATTAAGAAAACAGAGGAATCGAAGTTATCAAACCATTTTTGTTTGAATATTTCTTTTGGAGATTCAACTTTTAAAAATCACTCAAATGCGGATCAAAGACTTTAAAATAAATATCTAAGCTTAGAATACTGTTGTTAACCCATGAATGACCAGTTGTAAACTTTTGGCCACAACAGTCACATGTCAACTTTTTTCATGATTTTTGCTGTCTGACCTTTGTAATTAAAATGGTGTTTTTAAACTAACTTTAAAAGTAATACAAAAATATAATTGTAAAGCAATAGCCTGTTTGTCTCTTGAGTTTGAATGCTTTTATGAATGTTAAATAATGGTATTTTCCATTCCTAATGTAGAACAAATCAATCAGAACTGATCCTTATGGGATGATTTTAAGTGTTGATTAACAAGGAGAGATTGATGTACTAGTTTTGTCAAGCTCTATAATTGTTTGAATTCTGATATACTTGTGATCACAAGAAGAAACTTTATATAGTGGTGTGAGGTCGCATAATCCCATCAAATAAACTAATCTGTTAACAACAGATCAATGACAAGTTAATGTCTCTCCTTACACTCCTTATTAAGTTAACAATACATGTGTGTTTGGATATCTTGTACTTACTTACATGTAAAGGTGTAGGCCTATATTCTTTCAGTCATAAGTTTCTCCAGGTCTTAAATTATGATCAAGGATTGTTTCAGTTTCAATTTTCTCACGGTTATCATTCTTTTAATATATTCAGTGATTATCGTAGAAGTTTGAAACATTTTTCTCACAAAACTATGCCAATTCAATACAGAACCAGGGGGATACAGGGGCAGACGACAGGGTGGTTTTATATGGCAGGGAGTGCACAGTGATTGCAATAAGGAATCAAAACAAGATTTATTTATTGTACCAGTTACGAGGGCTGGCTAAAAATTAAAAAAAAACATGTGGAAGGCATAAAGATATTCAGGTACCGCAAACCCTCTTCCCCCCTCCCGTCTCTTTTGTAATAGTAATAGTCCGGTACGACTACATGTACAATGTATACAGAGCTACATGCACATCAGAGTATAAGACAATGTACATGTATATTGTGCAGTTTAACAAATGCACTGCCTTCTCTTCCCAGTTCTCTATCCCTCTAGACTATATTTCTTTTGTAAGCTTTTGTACAATGTTTTTTCTACGGGGTGTACTCTCTCCCTAAATTCCTTTATCTGCTCCTATGTATATTGTATATTTTCTAACTGCTAATCTACACGTACATGTATCTTGGAACTATTGGCAATGCATGAACATGTATAGGGCAAAAGTACAGTAACTTAACAAATATAGAAGCCAACTTCATGAATCACCCCCATTGTTAAAATAAATCTTCAAAATAGTTGTTATATGTGTCAGTAATCATGAAAACAGTAAATTACACAGTTTATTCCATAAAATCACGTATAGGGGGAGAGATATTACATAAAGAAAGGCTTGTTAATTCTATCTATTTGGTGTATATACAATCGTTTCTATCTGTCTCTAACAAGCTGGCCCTGTATAAAACTAGTAAAATGATATATTATTGATAAGCTTTGGGTTGTAATGTAGGTCACTGTAGGCTACATGTAAAATGCTCTATTATATATATATATATATTCAATTCTCCGCTAATTATAAAACATATGTTTATGCTATTAAAATGAAAGGGTGGATGTGTTTGTTATGATATTTTTTATTTATTGCCTTGTTGTACACTGTACTTTTAAATAGGCATTTACCTTGAACTTTGGCCAAACTAGGTGTAGTTTGTAAACAAAAGTTTTGGTTTCATTTATAAGAGGAATTTTGATAAAATATTTTTTGCAATTCCTGAAATAAAATCCTATGTCGGCTATGTACCATTATGCTGCTAAATTTTATTTATATTGATTGCCGCTTCCTTGTGTCAAAGATACTAAATAATGATATTAAAAATTGAAACTAGAATTTATAAGAGGAATTTTGATAAAATATGCTTTGCAATTCCTGAAATAGAATCCTATGTACATGTACCATTATGCTGCTAAATTTAATTTATATTTATTGCCACTTCCTTGTGTCAAAGATAATAAATGATGATGTTAAAAATTGAAACTAGACTTTATAAGAGGAATTTTGATAAAATATGCTTTGAAATTCCTGAAATAAAATCCTATGTACCATCTGCTAAATTTTATTAATATTTATTGCCACTTGCTTGTGTTAAAATAATAAAAGATGATATTATAAATTGAAAGTAGATTTATCTGTATTGTTGTTAGATGTTTATAATTCTGTTAAGAGATGAATCTGGTCTGGTTGGAATCTCACTGATTTCTTTAATAGTCATGTCAGAGAGCTTCATGTAAATCAATGATTTCTCTTAAAGTCATGGTGGTAATGTTTTCTGAATTTGATTTAAACATCAAGTTAAATAGGCATGTGAGTGAGCTAAATCTGTCTAGTACAGGCTGTTATTCTGGCTTCAAATATTATAACAATTATTATTTAGACGTCACTCACAGAGACTGCCAATAACAGACCTATCAATAGTGTTAAACATAGCTTTCTATTCTCATGTATTAATTAAAACTCTTACTTGGATTAAAAATAATACAAATTTAATTATATCCGCTGTCTGAAACCTGATAAAAGTGTTCTTTTATAATTTTGCTCAACAGAATCAAGTAATTTGCCTGAATTTTTCAGTATTTATTTTCGATTATCCATTTTTAAACTGCCGTATTTACATGTACAGCAAGAACAGCCAACTCTTTCTTTCTCTAAATCTTGCATGAATAGCTTTTTGATATGAACTAGATGTATGTGCTATATATAAAATCCATATATTATTAACTGTTATTTTGTTGATTAATTATGAGAGATAAATTACTGATTGGATGATCAATAATAATATGGGGTGTTGTAGGTGATAGAGATTGATTATGGTTTCATACAATTTCTTGAATACTGTTTACGCACACAGTACATTGCATCAACTTTACAACCTTACTTACTACATAACTTTTACAATTATCTCTCCATGTAATGAATTGGATTGTATGAAAATTTAAAAGGGAATTTGTTCATACCATATCTCCAAGAACAATGGAATTTAGATTCCAGTTGACTTGACAAGTTTATTAAACTTGAAACAAAAACACGAAAACGAATTGATAGCCCCTTGATGATAAAATACATGTACATGTAGGACGGGGTAAGCAGTCTGCTACCATTTCTCCTAATGATTGTTACTTTGTGATTTTTTTTAGCTGGGCGGGGGGGCTGTCCTTTTCAGGTTGCAGCCCTTGGGCCCACCTAAATTAAGCTACAAATGTATGTACATGTAACCCTCAGCCTGATGTACATTATTGGATTATTCTAATCAGAATTTGAGGGAAAATGTGCTTGTGGGCACAATACAATAAGGTTAAATTCAATTTACAGTTTACCTGTACAATCATCATTGGGTTAACAGGTAGGCCTATTTACAGATTGACTATTGAAAAGTTAAAATGATTTAATAAGTTATAGAAGATTGAATCTGTTATGATATATTACCATTAATTAAGAAGTAAAATGTACATTATATGGGTCATTAATTTCTTCTAATGTTGTCATCAAAGTGGTAATTATACATGTCTACATACAGGTACATGTATGAGGTATGTTTCTGGACAATTTGATACTCTTCTGAATCAATTAACTCAGCCTCCTGACCTCCTCTCTTCTTTATTCTCAGTCTCCATGTTGACTAAAATACAGTATACAGTATATTTTCTTACTTTTCTGTTACTTATG